CTTTGATTTCCTCAATCCGTTGCCGGACTGCAATCCCCATCATGCCATTCTGCTGGAGGAGGTGATGGTCATTGGAGTCCAACAACATATGGAAGGCCACAGATTCCCTCCGCCCCCCTTGGTGTAAAGAGAGAAGTTACAGATTTAGACTGGGGTAATCCAAGTTCAAACCTCCAGTGAGCCATGAAGCTTGGGCCAGTCCCAGACTCTCTCATCATACCCCACTTCCAGTGGCGTAGTGTGGGTTGTCAGCACCCGGGGCAAGGCAAGTAATTTGCACCCCCTAACCCGTGGATTTGCGCCCCCTAACCCGTGGATTTGCACCCCCTAACCCTAACCCCCAGATGTTGCGCCCGGTGCAGCTGGCCCCCCCTGCACCCCCACACTACGCCACTGCCCACTTCTGAGTCATTGTGAAGGTAAAATAGGAACCAGCTACATATATAGCACTATGAGCTCTTTGGAGCAAGATTGGGATGCTATGCCTTAGAAGATGTCTGCATTTTAAAGTATTTTCCTTTGTTTCCTGTTTAGGGTCCTGGATTTGTCATTTAACATTCTACGACACATCGAGGGGCTGGACCAGCTCACTCAGTTAAAGAAACTCTTTCTTGTGAACAATAAAATCATCAAAATTGAGAACCTAAGCAACTTACAGCAATTACAGATGTTAGAGCTGGGATCTAATCGAATCAGGGTAGGTATTTGATGGTGGTCTGTAAGGATCCGTCATTGGTATAGCTGAGAAATCAGCCATATCAGACAGGAGTGGGGAGAAGTAAAAACTTTCAGGTTGCAAATGTGCTGCTGCTGACTGCAACAGTGACTTCCAGAGGGAGACTTAAGAAGCATGGAAGAAGTGTCCATTTGGCCTCCAAATGCTTTCCTTGGCTACCTCCCTGATTTCTATTAAAAAATGTGTTGCTCCCCCTTCTGAGAATAGCTCAAGAAAAACATTTTAAAATGCAAGAGGGAAACTCATCACAGTGTTGATTGTGGCTGGCACATGGTTCTTTCAAGCACCACACTGAAAGACAATTTCAGATTGTTACATAAGGGGACCCAAACTTTGAAAAGTACTGGAGGAACAAAGGCTTGTAACTGTATACTACTGACAGCATAGATTTGAAGGTGGAAGAAAGCCAAACTGTAGACTTGGCAAGATCAGATAGTACATTAAGAATCTGTGATTTTAGGAAAAAGCCCCCCCCCCAAGATAATGAAAGTAGGGTAAACAGCTGATAAGCAACAAGAAGTTGAGTGGAACTAGTTATGTGAAAGTGGCAACTCAAGCTAGAAGATGAAATGAAATTTTGAGATAAGCAGAATATTCTCTGTTCCAGTACATAATGAAACATCAGTGAAATAAAATGACTAATAACTATTTATATTGGATAGTCAGCATGTTGTCTTCCAATCCCTTCATGTAATCACTTGTTTTGAAAAATACTTTTAAACATAAGATACTTTTTATTTCTTTTATTGACAATGCTGACCCTGTCTCCACCCCTGAATATTCTGCCAGGTGGAATTATCTCATTGTTCCAGCTTCACATGGATTCCCCAGGTGCTTAATAATTAAGAAGGTACATCCTGCTAATGGGATTCTGTAGGCCACTTGTTCTGAGTGAGCCGCCCTAAAGATTCTGCCTTCTGAAGGAATTTCTTCTCAGAGCTTCTTTGGAAGTCCAAATGACAAAGAACTCAAACTTGAAACTGAAAGTTGCTATTCTGCAGCATTTTCCCACAGCTTAACTATGGATACTGTGTTAGTTCAGCTTGCTTGGCCAGTGCAAAGTTGAAGTCGTCAGTCATACAGCATGAGACTTCTGATCTGAATCATCTCATGAGCCACCTTCAGTATACAAGTTTGTGATAAAGGAGTGGGTGGGGCGATATTGGGTAATTGACTGTGCTACAGTCTTACTAAGTAGTGAATGTGTTGCAAGAGGTTTGCTTGCTAGAATCAAGGATTGTAATGTTTACTGTGGTCAATTTGCAGGCAATTCAGAATATTGATGCGTTGACTAATCTGGACAGCCTGTTTCTGGGAAAGAACAAAATCACCAAGCTTCAGAACCTGGATGCATTGACAAACTTAACAGTGCTTAGTATACAGGTATCAGCCCTGGACTTCCCATTCCATTTATTTATTCATTTATCATGTCTGCTTTTCTCCTTCATATGAACTTTGCAGCAGTTTAGACCTTTCAAAACTAGAATGACAAAAAGACCAGTAACCTCTATGAATGAAGGGAGGCAATCATAGTTATAGTTCAGATTGTGGAAGGAAGGAACTGTCAACCAGTTCTCTCAGCTTATCATTTTCCAGTCTTAAAATGAGTTCTCTACATTTCTTCAGCAATTTGCAATTGAAAAAAATGAAAATTCTTCAGCATCTTAGTGTGAATTTATTCTAATAAACACATTTGTGTATACAGTTTTGATTAATGTACAGATTTTTACAAGCAATTTCTCCTAATGCATTTTTGGTATGATATTGTCACTAATATTTTCATTTTTATGCATGCTTTCCTCTTAATATATGATTTTTAATACATTGTTTGTTCGAACTGCATCAGAAATTATGCAAAGGGTTACTGAAAACATAAAGTAATGTGCATGGGCCAAGGTGTACACGTGATATTGTACAGCTGCACAATGACTCAGAGACTTGTATAAAATGTGCTGTGCAAATACAGTGAGTTCAGTAGAGAGACATGTAAGTGTTTTACCTGAAAAGTCTGGTTCTGTCATGTTAATCCATTTTTTATCACCACCCTAGAGCAATCGGTTGACCAAGATTGAAGGGCTGCAGAGTTTGGGGAACTTGAGGGAGCTGTACCTTAGCCATAATGGCATAGAAGTCATTGAAGGGCTGGAAAACAATGTGAGTTGCCTTTTTATTGTTATTTATTTGGTGCCATCCTTGTACATGCCATTTTACAAAGAATGAGCAGTCAAGTTTCTACCCCAAGAGGCTTATAAACTAGACACAGACACAAGAGAGGCAACAGAGGAAGGGGACAGAAATGGGGGAATATGGAAAGTTACACATGTATAGGCTTAATTTCAGTAGAGCATTGGGACTAGGTGGTTGTTCTAATGACTTCATGGAATGGGTGAGTTTTGAGGAAGGAAGGAGTTGCATCATAGAGACATCCTGGAATGGCAGCTGAAGGATACGGCAATGAGGAGAGCACAGAGGTGTGTGTGTGTAGTGTGTGTGTGTGTGTGTGTGTGTGTGTGTGTGTAAGCGTAAGCAGAGTCTTTTGAGGGAGCAGGAGACCTTTGGATTACTGAAGGTGATTGGAGATAGATGACTATAAGCCACAGGCAGGGATATGTCTGGATAGAAGTGTGTGGAGATAAAGAGAGGAAGGCCATGGAGGGGTTTAAAGGTAAGAAAAAGAAGCTTGTGTGGTGAAGAGGAAGCTAGTGTGAGGATTTAGGAAAGGGTGTTAATGTGGTCAGTTACAAGAGAGGTAAATAATTTTGGCAACAGTACTACTGGATAGAAGTAAGGAAACCAATGTGAGGAAGCAGAAGACCAGCAAGGATGATGCGCAATGTGAACCTGAGTTTCTGCCAAAGGGGAACAAACAAAGGGTTGTAATTTTTGTACTGTGGGAAAAGGAGAAGCATAGAGTATTAAGCCATGCTTGGTTATATAAAGCAATATTGAGGTAATTCCAGCACACTAGTAGTATTTTGGGAAGTGGGTTGTGCTTTTCTCTTGAGGCGTTATATTTATCCAAGAAAATTGAGTTTATGTCCAAAATTGGCCTGCTAGTTCTGGCCAGTAAAGTAAATTTTTCCAATCCTGATGTTTAGATGCCAAAGGTCAAGTAGGGTTATACCTTAGGGAGAGCAGTTGACTCTGCAGTATGTATGGTTGATGAACTTTGGCTATTTTGCTACATGGCATGTCCCTTAACGCCTATTCATGTTTTGTCCAAGGATGCACAATTTGCAAGAAGACAAGAATGAAAATAGAGACTAAAGTTTTCTTTATGCTTGTTTCAGAATAAATTGACAATGCTGGACATTGCGGCCAACAGGGTCAAAAAGATTGAAAATATTACCCATCTAACAGAGCTCCAAGAATTTTGGGTAAGTATGAGAGGGAGACCAAGAAGTGCTTACGGACCAGCAGCATAGCACGATGGCTATGTTTGGCCTCCACTGTCAGAGGCAGTGTTGGTCTGGGAATCATAGGTGGGCAGAGTACTGTTGTGCTCATGTCCTGCTTGCAAGCTTCTAGTTGGTTACTCTCTGAACAGGAAGAGCTGGACTAGGTGGGACATTGGTCTGAATCAGAAGGCTGTTCTTAAGTTTTTAGAATGGTGGCTTAAGACCCCGATAACCTGATCTAGTACTCAGATGGTGTGAGAGAGTTTCCATCTAGGGCCACGACCCTGAGATTAAGAGTCTATTCTTTACCGACGCTCAAGAATTGCTGGCACTTTTCTTTTGTGTGTGTTTTACCCAGATGAACGATAACCTCATTGAGTGTTGGAGTGACTTGGATGAGCTGAAAGGAGCCAAGAAATTGGAAACAGTCTACCTGGAGGGAAACCCACTGCAAAAAGATCCCCAGTACCGACGCAAAATCATGCTGGCCCTTCCATCTGTCCGGCAGATAGATGCCACCTTTGTCCGGTTCTGAACCCTCTCCAGTCCCTTACCTCCTTCCTTCCTTCCTCCCTCCCTCCCTCCCTCTCAGAGTGTCACAGATGGGATTTTCATCCACACTGCATCCTCTGTCTTCAACCCTCTGACACTTAAAGAGCAAACGGCTAACCAAGAGCACTGATAACAGACCTTGCGTATAATGCACACACTTGTTGTTTTTTGATTATTATAATTATTATTATTATTAAATCTTAAATGTGTGAGATTTCCTGGTTGTGACAGTGTCTGTTTCTACTGGGCAGTCTAGTAGCATGTTCAGAGATGTACTCTGAAACCTGAGCATTTTCTGTCTGTAAAGTGTTGGGCGCCTCTGTTCTTGAAGAATTGCATGGTGATCCAGCTGTTTTTGGACTACAACTCCCATCATCCCTCGCTAGCAAGACCAGTGGTCAAGGATGATGGGAATTGTAGTCCAAAAACAGCTGGAGGCCCAAGGTTGGGGAACACTGCCCTAAGCTCTTTCCCTGTCACTGACACCTAGTAGTAATAGCCCCTGAAACAACTGTTCAGAGCTGAATAGCATCAGCATTGTTTTACATATTGAAATAAGCCCAGGAAATGGGGACAGGGAAAGGATACTCACACTGCGGAATGCAATCTGTAATTCTGTCCCCTTTCCTAAACTGAGGAGGCAGGACCATCTTGGATAGCCTGTCCAATGAGCATAGTAGCAAGTAGATGCAAGCCAGCCTCTATTGTGTAGTTTAGCAGCTTCTTCCAGTCTACACTTTGATCTGCATTCCATAATGTAACAGCTGGGTGTTGTACCTGTCAATATTTGCACTGGAAATGATAGGTCACATCCTGGTTCTTCTCATTGTGCAAGCATGCCTGTATTCCATATGCTTCTATTTGTCATTCTAGCCCTCTCATCTGCAGCCGTGCATTCTGATGGGATGCAGTTTAGCAGCATGACGTTTCCATTTGTTTACATGTATGAACTACTTGAGATTCCTGCATTGCAAGGGGGTTGGATTAGATGACCCTCGGGGTCCCTTCCAAATCTATGATTCTATGAATACATTGCATTCCTCCTGCTGATTTATAAAGGCAGACTCCTTTATAGTGGCAAAACGAGCTGCACCACTTGTGTGTGAAAGTCATATGGTGTTAATTTGTTGGGGATGAGGGAAGAATTAGCAATTCTATCGATGATCAAACTGTGACTATTATTGCCAACTAGTTGTTTTATTTATTACAATTAGTTATATTTATCATGCGCCTTTCAAGATCTAAATCCTACCAAGGCAGCTTACAAGTAATATTCAAGTGCATACCTCAAAAACACAATAAACAATACTAATATATTAAAATACATCAGAATCCTTCCAACAGGGCAGTAGATCACCGTGTGGTGAGGGGAGCAAATCTAGGGGTGGGGTGTTCTCCTGTCTCCCGTTCCTAGAAGCCTTCATGCAGGAGTGTTGATGGTAGATTGTCCTGGTGGGAAAAGGAGGCAAGAGAGTAGGGAAAGGGATCAGTAGGGTGAGATGGTGCAGAGTTTTATATCTCTTAATGCTAAGTTATTTAGGACTCCTTTGTCATTTAGGAGTAACCAACTAAATGTATGCATAAATTTGAAGCCAATGCCTTTTCTTAGGGGCTGTTGGACATTACTTTAACTGTGCCTCTTGAATATACCCGCAGTGGAGGTGAACGGTCCTCTATTTTGAACAAGTGTCCTGGAAGGCACCACATTGTAAAGTTATCTTTTGGCAACTCTTGAGAGGGCCCTCGGCAAATAGTCAGAATATATTAATTTGAAATCATCTTTGCAGAACAATTTTCTCCGAAGAACTGAGGGCAGTACGTTGTAACAATATGGCTGAACAGTGAATTGAACCTGGGTCTTCTTGGTTGACCTAGTGCAACGCTGTATTCAACTTATCCCATGGCTCTCCTGCAGAGAGTGCCAAACTTTTCTTCAGGAAAGCAATTCCGATCAAGCTGAGCAGAGTAATGTGTGGTGCTGTACTGGCCTTGAGTAAAGAGATTTCACTCCTGAGAACTTGGCACCACAGACATTGCAATCTTTATTGATTGGCTACCTAAGAGTTTTCTCTGCATGTTGAAGTGATTTCTAAATTGACCTCTCTGTTGTACCCCTGCAGCAGTATGCACTAGTCACGAGAAGGAATCAGCTGAAGAAAAGCCAATGGAACAGCTGGCATCTAGAGGAAAGAAGACAAACTGGGAGGGGGAGCAGTGTTAATGTTAATACCTTTCAGGTTTATCTTGGAACTAAAATGTTAGTTCATCTGAGGACACAAACCACAGAGAAATGGAACCTATAGAAATGTAGAGTTTAAAGTAGACGTGAAAAAAGTTGATGCTCCACTAGACTTGCGCCTAAATGTTACCCGTCTTGATTGATCCCCGGGTACCGGTAGGTGTGAGGAATGCATATCCTGTAAAATTAAGTACTCTGGTTTTCCTGGTCCTTTCCTTGCCTGTGTTTTCCCCAGTTGCCTGAAGGTTTTCCAGTTGTCTGAAGACTGAGCTTAGAAGTTAGTTAGGTTTGTTCAGAGCTGCTGAATGCCAAGCTTTCCATCACTCTCCAATTATGATCTCATAGGCGACGGCTTCAGAACTCTCAAGTCAGCAGCAGCAGGTGAGGTTTTAACAACTCTCCGTAGGACAGATTGTTGTCTAGGCCCTCCCCAACCTGGAGCCCTTCAAATGCTTTGGACTACGGCTGCCCTCCGCCACAGCTAATGGAGGAAAAGGCTATCAATGGTTACTAGTCATGAGGAGTGTGTTCTACCTCTCCTATTGGAGACAGTTTGCCTCTGAATATTATTTGCTGGAAAATGACTCCAGAAGAGAGGCCTATTTTGCCTATGTCCAGCTTGGGGACCTCCCATAGGTAACTGATTAGTCACTGTAGGGAACAGGATGCTGGACTAGAGGCCTTTATTTGCATCCAGTAGGGCTCTTATTAGGAAACGGGAGGCATCCAATGGAGAGAAGGAGCAGTAGTCCCTCCCTTTTTTTCTTCCCACCTCCCCTTCCTTCCCGTTGGTCAGACAAAGACTCACTTGACATGCTAAAACCTGATAAAATGTGGCTGCTTACGTTTATGCTCGGTTCTACAGATCCACACCCTCTTACCAAACAAAGGCAAGGTCCGGTAAAATTATTAAACAGGAACGGTCTTGGGAACCTGTCTGCAAGTTTCAGATTCCTCCACCTTATGCATACACCCAGGTATTTACCAAAGAAGGAATCTCTTGGAGTGGATGGTGAACAGCAACAGAGTGGAAAAGTAGAGCAGTGGCATTTTACTGACTTCAAAACTCAAGGGAAGAAAGACCAGGAGGAGGAGGAGGAGAATAACAGTAGGTTTAGCATCCTTTGTATTTCCTTGGAATCTCACAGGATCTGTGCGATGGAGCCACTATCTGATAGCAACTCAGCAGAGGGAGGGAGAGTATGGACACAGTAACTTCATCAACATTACCAGGTATTTTACAAGCAAACCTTTCTGCATATAAATTGGAAAGCAATGCAAAGTAGTGTTTGGGCATCAGGGGTGTTTGGGAATCACATTACAGGTTTTTGAACTTTGATTGCCACACCATGACCAGATTCAATGTCCCTCCCACCTTGCATTCACCCCAGCTGAACAGCGAAGCTCAGCTCCAGTCAAGCCTAAGTCTGTCTCCTGCCTAGATTCCTTGCCTTATATGTCTGTTTTTTGCCATGATAGAATTTGACACCATCCACAGTCTGAAACAACTGGAGTGCAACAGGTAGCTTCATTACAATAGCTGCATCTGTCTTAATGAGGTGTTGGTTCAACTCCGTCCACTAAAACAGGTAGCCAGTGTGAGCTCTCCAGCTATCATTGGACTACGGCTCCTATCATTGTGCCATTGTAATGGGCTGGTAGGTGTTGTCGTCCTACAACATCTGCAGGGCACCACGTTGGCTACCTCTGCACTAAAACCCCAAGCAAGCAATGCCACAAACTGCAGAGTTAAACCTCAAATTCACTAACCTAATCTGCCTAGGATGGAGGAAGCAATCCTTCCAGAAACTCAAATCACAGGTCAGCCCAACTTTGAACATGTGGCCACCACTGAAAGAAACTGCTGGGGTGCAAGTCCCCCTGGTGTGTTAGCTGTGAAACAGAAGGGCTTTTATGTATTGCAGTGGTAGGGTGTTGCTTTACTTCTTTCTCAGGTCCCTTTGGCATTGGGCTGAGCATATTTCCTGGTGGCGGGAGATGGGAGGGAGAAAGACTTGCAGCAGGACATCTTCTTGCACGTTTCTCTGGATTTCATCTTTGAGTCTGATCTGTACTGGCACTAGTTCTCCGGGGTTTCAGACGGGGCTATTTCCCAGCCCTAACTGGAGATGCTGGGATTGAACCTGGGAACGTTCTGCATAGAAAGCACGTATTCTACCACTCGGCAATGGCCTTTCCCCCACTTGCACTAGTGGACGTCTACGTCAGAGAGATGCATTCCATCGCTAGTTCCTATGCAGTACAACCCTGTATTTGTCTAATGGGATGTAAGTGTTACTGTGTTCAATAGGACTTAACCCCCAGGTATGTTAGATGTGGCTAACCTGTAGCCCTCCATATGTTGGTGGATGACAACTAACATCCCTGGCATTGCTGGTTGGAGCCAATGGAGGACCATCAGGAGCCCAGAGAACCACAGGTGAGCAGGATTGCAGTCCTGCTCCAGAGAAGTGAGAAGAAATACCTACTTTATTAATTTATATGGGATATTTCTAAACCTACCTGGACCCCAAGACCATCTTCTGGGGCCCTCCTTTGTGTGCCACCTCCTCAAGAGGTCAGGAGGAGGGCAACACAGGAACGGGCCTTCTCTGCAGTGGCCCCCCGTCTGTGGAATGCTCTCTCCAAGGACTTTCACCGGGCGTCTTCATTATACACCTTTAGGCACCTGGCAAATATGTTCCTTTTTAACCAGGCCTTTGGTTGACCTGATCAACATCTCATACCCTTTTAAAATGTGGCTCCTTTTGGGGGCGTTATTAATGGGTTATCACTTTTATTTTTATTTTATAGACTGTGATCTTTTTATGTGAACTGCCCTGAGACCTCCAGGTATAGGGCGGTATATAAATTCAAAGAATAAGAATAAGAATAATTAAACAAAACAAAAAAACTGTTAAACGTTGCCAAATACCATCCTGTTGTACTACATCAATAAATAAAACAGTTAAAAACAAATTTCCAAAGAGAAATTGGATACTGCACCCAAGACAATCTTCAGTTATTTATAGTCAAATGGTTTGCATCGGTTGTGAAAAAGAGCTGGGCATTGGTGCAGGATTCCATAATTAGGAAGCCTAGTGTAGAATTTGAAGTCCATTTAAGAAGTTTTTTTCCAAATGGTTGAAAGGCATTAATTAGTTCAGGTTTGCTATCAATTCACCATGCAGTGAATGCAGCTTTTTTTTCTTGGAAACTAACATTTTATTTCTAATTTCACCCTCCAGTCAACACACAAACTGAAGTAATAGAGCCAATAACCACAACTAGCCTCTTGTCCTTTTCCTGAATCATTTCTGGTCAGACAGGTTTATACTGCTCATTTACCATAGTTACACAACCCCAGCTGAGCTGCCAACTGGCAAATTCAGGAAGCTGTCATTATGGGTGAAGTTTGCTTTCACTTCCTATGTTTCTAATTCAGACCCTTGATTTGAATTTCAAAGCCAAGGTGTAAAAGAGCTCAAACACAAAATCTGCATGTCTGTTGTTGTTTTGAAAAGATATATTCAACATTTTAGTTATGTAAAATAGTCTGGCATGGTTTTGCTGCTGCGTATCACTCATATTGAGGGACGCGGGTGGCGCTGTGGATAAAAGCCTCAGCGCCTAGGGCTTGCCGATCGAAACGTCGGCGGTTCGAATCCCCGCGGCGGGGTGCGCTCCCGCTGCTCGGTCCCAGCGCCTGCCAACCTAGCAGTTCGAAAGCACCCCCGGGTGCAAGTAGATAAATAGGGACCGCTTACCAGCGGGAAGGTAAATGGCGTTCCGTGTGCTGCGCTGGCTCGCCAGATGCAGCTTGTCACGCTGGCCACGTGACCCGGAAGTGTCTCTGGACAGCGCTGGCCCCCGGCCTCTTGAGTGAGATGGGCGCACAACCCTAGAGTCTGTCAAGACTGGCCCGTACGGGCGGGGGTACCTTTACCTTTTATCACTCATATTATCACTGCCTATGCACTACACTAGGGCAGTTCAAGAAGAGTTTTACAGCCATTGTCCTGGCCCTCCCTGCCGGACAAAGAACTCAGACTCCCAGTTCAGTTTCTGCCAAAGTCTTCAATGCATAAATCAGATTGGTACAGAGGCAAAGCACAGATTAATTACAAGGTGCAGCAGGCGCACAAGAGATATAGATACAGTATATGGCTAAGCACAAGCTAAGCCATTGATCCAACAAGCCACATGCCCACCTGCACCTTACTTTTTGAAGGGCAGGGTGAGCACAGCATTTAGTGCAGCAAGCAATGGGAATCTCTGGAGTGAGCAAACAAGCGGGTGCTCCTCCCTTTACACCTCAACTACTCCCTTGCCTATCCTCTCTCAGCTTCTCCCTCCCCTCATAGCTTTGCCAGACCTCTCTGTGAAGCGGCTCTCCCCCTCCACTAAACAGCTCACCTGAGCCCAAACTGCTTGCTCGCTTGCCTACCATTCTGTTACCATGCTAGAGTGGGCATGGACACCTGGTGGTTACGCAATTTGCAGCATGACAATAGCCTTACTTTTTAATATGTATAGGAACATACATAGTACAGTGGTACCTCGGGTTACGAACTTAATTCGTTCCGGAGATCCGTTCTTAACCCGAAACCATTCTTAACCTGAGGTGCGCTTTCGCTAATGGGGCCTCCCACTGCCAGCACATGATTTCCATTTTCATTCTGGGGCAAATTTCGCAACCCGGAGCAACTACTTCTGGGTTAGCAGTTTTTGTAACCCAAAGCATTTGTAACCCGAGGTACGACTATTCTAAAATTATAGAGAATAAGTTTGTAATCTCAGCAGAGGCATCCTGTGAGGGCTTCTGTGGTTAAAAGGCAGCCTTTCCCTTTTTTATTTCTCTCCCCCCCCCCCCCCGCAACTAAGTCCCTCATGACAATGTCTGAGGAGAAAATTGTAGAGAGCCAAGGGAGTTCTGGGACCAGCCATAGCTTGGATAGACAGACATAGTTCCTCTCATCTAATCTCATTTTATCTCCTATGCCCTCACGAGTTTAGAATTCCAGGATATTGGGCAGTATATGCAAACTAACAAACAAATAACCACATGGAAGAGCTATCCCCATGTGCATGTTCATAACTCTGGCCTTCACTGGCTGGAGGAACAAGAGGCTACATTAAGGGGTTTGGCTAGCTAGACAGCTTTTCTCAGCTCTCCTTCCATTAACTTCCTTAAGTCAACTTTTCTTAGGATCCAAGTCTAAGCGTTTAAAAGTTGTGGCTCAAATTAGAATGCGAGTGTCAGTGAGTGCATATAAGGGTTAAAATTCCTTGTAGGAAAAGCCCTTCAAACTGCCTTTGGGCCTGCTCCCCAACATTTGAAAGTCAAATCCATAGGTACGGTATTTCCATTGTTTGCCTAGCAAAAGGAAATGTCAGTTCTGCTGCTTAGCAGGCTGCTTCAGTACATCTGGTGTGATGTTGACTATTCTGGCAGTGAACTACACTGAGCCATTTCCTTCTTTCTGGCTACTCAAGTTGCATTCCTAAAAGGTGGAAGCTTAAGCAAGTGAACGGGTGTCTGTGGCTACTTTAACAACACTGGCTATTTTCAGACGTGACTTGAAGGAGCTACGTCGCCTGCTTTTCTTGCAGGGCAGTCCTCCAACTGGAGTTGTGGCCACGTGTGCTTACCATACTCTTCCTTCCCCTTTCCCATATGACTTTCCCAGGATGTTCTGCTTCCTTTGTAAGCAGCTGGACTGGTTAGACAGGGAGCAGATTGCCAGCAGTAGTGCTTGCCTTCAAGCTGTCTTCCTGAGGAGAAGGGGGTGGGTGGGAAATTTTCTCCTTGCAGCACACATGCTTGGACTCTTCTGTGCCTTTTTGCACACTCAGTTGTTGGCTCAATTCCTCCTAGACGGCTTGATGGTGGAATGAAAAACAAAGATGCAGCGGAGAAAGACCAAAGAGGATGACAATCTGATCGCAGATGAGCAGGATCTCCAGGAGGCCGGTTATGGGAGCTTAAAGACCTCGGAGGACTACATATACGAATTCATCACCTTGGGCCCTGAGAAGGTCTCAAAACAGACCACTTATGAAAGCTTTGCTGATACCTATGGGCAGAATATAGAGGATGCCAAGGGTGGGAGGCAACCCATGAGTTACCCTGAGGTCCCACGGGTAAGAAAAAATTCCTTGTCTTTTTTAGGGTTGAGGAAGAACTGGCTGCTTGGGCACATATTCTCTAGGCAGGGGTGGGAAAGCTCAGGCCTGGGGCCAAAATCAGCCCTCTAATCCTCTCTGACGGGCCTTCAGGACTCTATTTGTCAAACCTCATCTCCACCCACACCCCCTGTTCTCAGGACTCACCCCTCACCAGCCCTGCCTTGAGTGTTTTTGCCTCACCATAAAGTTGTCCTTGGACTCTGATAATGCCTCTTATCCTTTGTACAGTAGACTACATTCCAGTCACACAAAAATTAGAGGTTCCTCCTACACACACACACCCCTTCCTATCTTCCAGGGCTAGTGAGAAGTTTGGCCCAGAAAGGAAGAGAGACTTAGGGAAAGTTCAAAGGGCCAGACAGAAAGGCTCTGAAAACCACATGCTTTAAAGTTAATATTCTAGAGCAGGGATGCTCAAACCGTTTTCCTCTGGGCCACACTTTCAGAATAAAAATTTGCTCACACCATGCCACTATTCTAAAGTGATGAGATAGATTGGAAAACAAAAAGAAACAACTCCTAGCAGTGTTTAATTTTTTTAAAAAAAGATCCATATCCTGCAAATAAAAATATTTCGATCCTATCCTATCCTATAGGATATGTTTAAATATTTCTTTGATTGCCTCTGAATCTTCCTGCCACACTTGCACCCTCTCCTGCCACACCAGTGTGGTGCACAACACCCTTTGAGAACCACTGTTCTATAGAGTATTGTTACAAAAGCCCTGTGCCTGCCCCCTCTCTCTGCCAAGCAGTGGCCAGAGCGCATGGGGTCACAGGCACACATACAGGGTCTGTGTCCCTTCAGAGAACAGAAGACACAGCGGAGGCTGCCGTGCTTTAAGAAATAGGGTTTATTTGTCTATTTATACCTTCCATCTGCATGGAGGGGGTCCAGATCTTACAGCATGGCCCAGAGAATGGGCAGGCAAACTGAGGGCCGGGGGCCAGATCCGGCCCAATCGCCTTCTAAATATGGCCCACGAATGGTCCCAGAAATCTGTGTTTTTACATGAGTAGAATGTGTGCTTTTATGTAAAATGTATCTCTGGGTTATTTGTGGGGCATAGGAATTCGCTCATCCCCCCCCAAAAAAAAATATAATCTGGCCCCCCACAAAGTCTGAGGGACAGTGGACAGTGCTGAAAAAGTTTGCAGGCATTGCATTGCAGGCAGTCCTTCCTTCACCCTCACCAAGATGAATATCCCCTTTCTTCCTCTGTCTTCTTCCCAGAAGCCACTTGCCCTCCCCCAGAGCAGTTACCCTGGCAACCTTCCAAATCTCCAGGCTCTGGTCACACCTGGGACAAGGAGTTGTTGACCCTCAATTGCTCTCTGTTGTAATGCTAACAGCTCTGCTCTTCCCTCAGCCAGCCAGACTGGTTTGCATAAGGCAGCCCAGGAATCCCCTTGCAGCTTCTTATTCTCCCTTCATATCACAAAGAACCCTAAACCCTAGCATTTATTAATTTCTAGGGTTTAGAGGAGTCCCCCCCCCTATTTCTATAACAGTATAATTCTATAGAGCCCTATTGTGGAGGAGGTGAGCAGGGATGGGGAGGAAGCTGTTTTTGCCCTCACACTTGAACCATAGCTGTCAGCTTTTCCATTTTATTGTGAGAAATCCTATTCAGAATAAGGGAATTTCCCTTAAAAAAAGGAAAAAGTTGACAGCTATGACTTGAACTGTTGGGAGAAGAAAGGTATTGAGGCAGAACGACCCAGCCCTCCACCAGCCAGCGTTGTGATATCAGGCCTGACGTGAGAAACCTCTGTTCTCAAGCAACAAGACCTAGATTGATTTACACCCCACTTTATGTGGGTGGGATTCCACTCATGCAAAGGGACTTCCTCTTCTCCCCCTTGAAACCCCTTGTGTGTCACAAAAAGCTGCTCTCTCTAGTAACAGTTCCCGAACCCTCACGAGCAGATTTTGAGGGGCACTGGGGTGGGGAGGAAGGACAAAGAAATGAATTTCTGCCAAGCAAGTAGAAATCTGTTCTGCTCATGCACACAGCTTTGAATACAACTCATGGTTACTGTATATGACTTGTATATTATTCAAACTAGCTTGTCCTTATTGAGGAAGGAAGGGGAATAGGCAGATTTGGATGTAGTAGTGCGAGGTGGTAAAACTGGGCATGAGAAAAGCTACCATAAATGGTAGTTGGGTCAGCCCTACTGTGCAAGAAAGTGAAGCTGGTGGCTTTAGGAAGTGGAGTTTAGGGGAACAGATGAAGGTAGTATTGGGTGTCTCATGGAGGGAGACTTTTTCAAGTGCTAGCAGGTGATGGTGCCATTTGGTGCTCTGTTTCAGATGAAACAATAGCTTGAGCCAACACTGATAGGTTGTTTCTGTCAGGAAAAAGCACCAAGGCAAAAGCCAGCTCCAGATGGCTGGAATGCAAAACAGGATGTTGTGGTTTGCAGATGTACTGTTGGAGAAAAGGTGGAGCCTATTCTCTGTACTGAGCACCGGATGTTAGCTCAGAATGTCATCTGACCTGTGCTGGAAGTACAGGGGAGGAGGTGTGACTCTCCTAATGGAGACTGAAGGGTGCAGTCACATTTCTATGTACTGCTGGAGACAGGAATAAAAAGACATGTAAAAGGACTCCTGTCTGTCTCATTTCTCCTCCCTGGGAGGATGCAGGGGGGGAGAGAAGCAGAGAAGCAGAGGGTGTGTTTTTCTCACGACTAATGAGAAGAATCGCCGGGTTTGTTTACCTAGCCTGCCGGCAGTCGCAGACGGATGGTAAACACAGTATCTCGCTCAATTGCCTCGGGGGAGGCCAGGTACCTCTGCCTGTGAGCCAAGATACTAACATATGGCAGCAGAGGATGGTTGCGATTCATCGGACATCTGCATGAGAGGCTGGTGGATTGTCCTCCTCTGCTCCAAGGGAGAAGAAAAGCGTCTGAGAGAAGCCAGAGGCTCAATAGACGGCTGGTGGAAAGACGAGGTGTTTTCCAAGCAACATAGTTCAAGGTATGCTGCATTTCGGGCTAAAATTGTGAACGCAGGTTGATTAATTCACTGGTTCACGGAGCTGCGTTTCAAAGAAAACAAACGCTCCGGGAGAAGAGGCCTGCAGCTCTGAGGCTGAAGCCTGCATTCCACAAATTATTGTGGTTAAGATAAGAAGTCCTGTAAGCACTGTTGCTAAGTAACGGAAAGTTGGAAAGTTACTGGCAAAGGGGCTGGACTGTGAGTGTGAGCCTGGGAAAGCGAAACAAAACCAGAGAATGTTTTGAGTAGAAGTTTACGTGATCTTGGAGGGACTTTCCGTAGCAGCCAGAGTTTAGCTGCCAGGTGCCAAAGAGCGTAAACAGCTTGCAGTTTGCCTGCCTGAGAAAGAAAAAAACAACTGTTGGATTTTACAGTTTGTTTGAGAGTGTGAGCTGGAGGCTTTGGCTTCAAGATGGATGCCAAGAAGGGAGCTCTGCCTTGCCCAGATCCCTTAACCAATGACAATTATTCATCTTGGTCAGTAAAGATGAAGGCCCTGCTGCAGAATCAGAGGCTTTTTGATGTAATTGAAAACCCCATCCCTGCAGCTCCAACCAGAGGTTGGGAGTCACAGAACGTGAGGGCCAGGACTGCTATAATTCTGTGTGTCTCAGATGAGCAGTTGGTGCATATTCAGCATTTACAAAATGCGAAAGAGGTTTGGGATACGCTACGCACAACGCATCAGAGAGATGCTGGTTCTTCAGCGTTGCTGTATTTTGAGAAGTTAACCAATCTGAGACTAGCGCCTGATGGAGATGTTCAAGCGCACCTGACAGAGATGAAGTTTCTGCGTCAACAGATGGTGGAACGCAATTTCCGTCTTCAGGAGGAAGTATTTTGCTTCATGATGATTAACAGCCTTAATCGCACCTACAAGGTTGTTGCCAGTCAGCTTGGTTCCCTACCTGCTCAAGACCTGACTTCGGAGAGAGTGTGTGCTGTGGTCCTGAATGAACACGACAGACTTGCTGCACTGGAAGTGAAGGACAGGGGGAGGCAAGAACGGAGTTCAAATCTTCCCACTGCTGAATCTACTGGAGAGCATGGAGTAGCATTGAGCGCTGTCCGATGCTACAATTGTGGACAGACTGGGCATCTACAGCGAAACTGTAAGAAGCCGCGTCAGTCAAGAGGAGCAAAGAGCAGCTCTACGAAGCCTGAGGCATCAGGCAAAAGCCGTTCCAAGTGCCAGGTGAAACCTGCAAAGGCTATGATGGCGAAAGGAACCACGCCAGATGTTGGGAACGCCTTTATAATCGACACTGGATGTACAAAACATTTATGCCCGCACCGACAACTGTTTTCGACGTTGAAGAAGCAAAGCTTCACTGTGAAACAGGCCAACGGTCAGGAGTTGGAAGCGACCGGAATTGGGACTGTGTATCTTGAGAGTCTGAACTTGACAATAAGTGATGTTTACCTGGTTCCAAAACTGAGATTTAATCTGCTGAGTGTGTCGCAGATTGCAAAGAAGGGACTGAAACTGTCCTATGATGCGAAAAGCTGCAAGATCTACAAAGATGGAGAACTGTTTCTTACTGCCAAAGAGAAAGATGGATTGTATTTGTTGACTTTTGATCAAAGTGATTACATGAAATGTAATACTTCTGATTCTAACGAAGTTTCTCTTGCAGGTGTGACCAACAAGAAGGACACCAGGAAGGTGGCTAAGAAGGTCGACAGAGCATTTCAGCGAGTGTATGCTGATGTGATTGGTCCTCTAGAACCATCTAGAGGCGGTGCAAAATATTACCTTTTGTGTGTGGATTGTTTCACTAATTATTCTTGGGTTTATTTGATGGAGAAACCGCAGGAAACTTTAGAAAAGTTTCAGGAGTTTTGTGACAAGGTTAAAAATATGCATGATGCTAACATTGATTGTCTTTTCACAGATGACAAGCAAGTTTTTCTGTTACAGAAGTTTCAGAAGTTCCTGGATGGAAAAGGGATAGACCACAAAATTTCTGTTTCGCCAGAAGCGTGGAACAGAGGGGTCTGTGTGAAAGTGAACAAAGAATTGCAAAAGGGGATGCATGCGCAATTGCTGAGTTCACATTTACCACATGATTATTGGGCCGAGTCACTAGCGTCCTATCTTCACGTGTGGTTGAGAAAGGTCTCAACAGAGTTGGGATGTTCTCCTTTTGAGAAGCTGTTCAAAGAAAACCTTCTGTTGCCTATTTTAAGGTTTTCGGGTCTCATGTGAGAACAGAAGCTCCAGGTGGAGTAAAGAATGCCAGAGGCGTTTTTGTGGGATATGAAAAGGGTCTCTATAGAGTAATTTTGTCTGAATCTGGTCAGGTGATTCTCACAAAGTTCCTAGAGAGTGCTCCAGAAAAAGAGCGGGTTGCAGAACAAACATTTCCCACAGAGAGCAATTCAGCTGATGATGATAATTTTTCTGATGTCACAGATTACAGTGGTACTGATGATGATGACAGTGATAGCTCAGAGAGTTCAGTTGTAACAGTCATTGAGAGAAAATCTCACACAATGGATAGACCTTCACAGATGAAGGAAGAACCACTGTTAGCCAATGCTACTGGTTCTCAACAAAGTCCAGAGGTTGAACCAGTGAGCACAGAGAATCAGAACCTCATACGCAGGTCTGAGAGAGTCACAAAGGGTGTACCACCAAAGAGGTACTCAAAAGAGTTTGCTAACGTAGCTGTTGCATGTGTAGCTATTGTTAACAACTCAAAGCAGGTTAAAGCAGTGTCTAATTCAGAGACAAAGACACAACAGAGAGTAGCAAGCTAAGGTAATGCAGAAGCACTCATTCCTTGGAAACCAGACAACCAGAGAGGTACACTGGTGAAACCAGTGGTGGGGAGTTCCAAGGGTGGAACTGAAACAACAGGGGACTGTTATATGTATAACAACTGTTTGTTTTCTTCTCTGGATCATGTTTTGCCTATTGATGCTTTTGGGGGAGGATGTCAGGAAAAAGCACCAAGGCAAAAGCCAGCTCCAGATGGCTGGAATGCAAAACAGGATGTTGTGGTTTGCAGATGTACTGTTGGAGAAAAGGTGGAGCCTATTCTCTGTACTGAGCACCGGATGTTAGCTCAGAATGTCATCTGACCTGTGCTGGAAGTACAGGGGAGGAGGTGTGACTCTCCTAATGGAGACTGAAGGGTGCAGTCACATTTCTATGTACTGCTGGAGACAGGAATAAAAGACATGTAAAAGGACTCCTGTCTGTCTCATTTCCCTCCCTGGGAGGATGCAGGGGGGGAGAGAAGCAGAGAAGCAGAGGGTGTGTTTTTCTCACGACTAATGAGAAGAATCGCCGGGTTTGTTTACCTAGCCTGCCGGCAGTCGCAGACGGATGGTAAACACAGTATCTCGCTCAATTGCCTCGGGGGAGGCCAGGTACCTCTGCCTGTGAGCCAAGATACTAACAGTTTCATCCCTCTTCTAACTCTGCAAAGTGAGATGTTCAGCTACAGGACCCTCTTTGAGGTTATGGTAATAGTTGTGGAGGGCTGAGGAGAGCCATTGATTATATTAGCACATAAATGATAAGCCATGAAGCTTGCATGCACCCTAATTGTTCCCACTTCATGTGAGTGGGCGAACAGTCTATAATTGCTTAAGGTTGTGTCCCAATCCAGGATTGTGGTTTGTTTCTTCTAGGCAAGCCAGGATTCAAAAGCCAGCAGCAAACCTTGGCTGACAGCAAGGCTAACCATCTTGGTTTGTTAGAGAGAACAAGCCATGATTCCAGGATTTTCCTTTCCAGATGATTTACCCACTTGCATGAAGGGTATAGTGAAACAGATTAGGAGTGATCAGGCTGTGTGCACCAGTGTGCAGCCCATGCAAAGCACAGTATATTAAGCCAAGGTTCTTGCTTTGGAATTATGGACAAACACTGCCATACTGAGAGATTCAGCACTCAAGGCTGGAGCAGCAAATTCCTGCTTCTTGTATTTTGGTGATGATTTGGACTGACCAAAAATGATGGCACCATTCTAATCTCATTTCGACAGCTAGTACTGCTGGACTGAGAAATATGACCCCATCCACTTTTTCATTCATCACTAACATTTTATTTACAGAGGAATAAACAAGCGCCATTAAGCCATGCTGTAAAGAGCACTGCAAACCTCTTCAGTGATGAGACAGCCAGGATAGGTAAGAGAACACAGTTCATCACTAAATGCACAAGCTGGGTAAAGATTTATGTGATCAGCAAGACTTCCCTTTTGAAAGGATATCATAGAATTGCAGAATTGGAAGGAGGAGGGTCATTTAGTCCAACCCCCTGCAACGCAGGAAGCTGAACACGTAGTTCCCCATCCAATTTGAAACCATACCAGAACCTACTTAGCTTTACCAATGTGCTAGCAGTTTCATTGCTGCACCACTAGGAGGTGGTCATTCTTGAAGCAATGCTGCCTCACTTCCTTCCCATTGCTCTGAGAACTCAGCAATTGTCTTATAGACATGTTTTACAAGTTTTATTCTTTTTGCAGATTTTAACTTTAAGTACGTTATTCAGGTTTTAATTTTTTTTGGTTTTGTAACAAGTGCATATAAAAACCCCAAAGGTTCAGGAACACAGTGACTGGAAAATTGATTTGTGCATGAGTTCCTACTCCTAACTACTGAAGTATTACTTTTCTCAACATAGTCAGCAAGTAGATGTTGCAAGGGAAAAAACAAATTTTCTCTTTTCTGTTCTGTTCTGTTCTGAGATAATACCATATATGACATTGAAAGGCTGAATTGGTTTTGAATGTTTTGTAATGTCGGTCCATCTTCACAACTTTTCTTTTAAAAATCAGTTAAAAACAAAACAAAAATGTGATTTTCCTGTGCATTTACATGCTCTAATTGGACAGCAGGAAAAGGTGATAGGTAGTGCAGCAAGAGTGAGTCCCTAGTCTGTTCCTACCTTGCCTGTAGCACCCCACTGTCATCTAGGATTCCCCTATGTCCACTCCATGCTGTTCCCCATTCTTAGGATGTGACAGATGTTTAGAGTGACTAATTGCCTTCCTACTTGGCTTACTGCTGATGTAATATTTGCGGTGTGTGTGTGTGTGTGTCCTTTGTCTCAGACTTTATTCTGGTATGGGAATCAGATTACCAGAATTTGGAAGGACAAGGTGATGTGGCTGAGAAATCAAATCGAAGGCAGAAGAGATCGCTTGAAATACACAGTGTGTGGCGAGAGAATTTTCTGAAGAAACTCCAGAAGAAAGGGATTAGAATGGAAAAGGTAACCGGACTCTTCTGTTCTAGTATTTTGTGGTTTTTGTTTTGGTTAAGTGCTGGGCGTAGCGGGATGGGGGGTGGGAGAGACTTCTTGTTTTACCTTTTTCTTGATTGTTACTGATGTAACTGCCCTCCTCTTATTTAACCCTTTTAAAGTTCCACTGCTCAAAATTGTACCTGAAGAGTGGAGGGCAAAACAAACTCAACTGTAAGCTCAGCTCCAGTTCCCCTCATCAACAGAGTCCTACTGGTCAAAACTGTGGTGGTGGTTGATTACTCACAAGGTTAAAAATTAAAGCATAACAATACGGGTGGGTCAATCTACATCCTTTCTGCAAATAGAGGTCCCAATACCAGCATTTTGTGTATTTATTTTATGGAATTATTTACACCCTGCCTTTTTTGTAGTCCAAAACATCTGGTGGGCACCAGATTGGGGAAGACTACACTAATGCAATGACATGGTTTCAGACATTTTTTCCCCTACTGCATCACTGGTTTATGAATGTGTCTCTCAGTACTGTGGATATGACTATACCTTTATGGCAGCCTTTCTCAACCTGTGGGTTCCCAGATGTTGTTGGACTACAACTCCCATCACCCCTAGCTAGCAAGGCCAGAGCTCAGGGATGATGGGAGTTGTAGTCCAACAACATCTGGGGACTCACAGGTTGTGAACCGCTGCTTTATGGGATCAAATCTAGTAAACTCCCTTTTGGGAAAGGAGAAGTTGAGATTAATTTCAGCACAGTATAGCTGTATAAAAGTAATGGAAACAGCTGCCCTATGATGCAGAGGGACAGCCACATACATTTGTCCTCAGCTGTAGAAGATTGCTTGAGTGCCTCATTAAAAAAATACTTGTCTTGCAAGGAAACTCCATGTAGCTGGCTGATCCCATCTCCTTTTTCCTTTCTAGCACGTTGCCCAGAATGCAAGGAAGCTGGTGCACTTTATATTGCTGAGCGCTCCTTGGAGTGTGCTCTGTTATTATGCTGAAGACCTCAGGCTGAGGGTTCCTTTGCAGGTGAGAATGTTATGGAGCTTAAATGCCAGTAGGTCAAACTTTGTTCTCTGCTTAGGCTGTAAGTTTCGGGGTTGCAATGCTTCTGAAAACCAGTTGCTGGAAACCACAGGAGGGGAGAGCAGTGGCGTAGCATGGGTTGTCAGCACCCGGGGCAAGGCAAGTAATTTGCGCCCCCTAACCCGTGGATTTGCGCCCCCTAACTCGTGGATTTGTGCCCCCTAACCCTAACCCCCAGATGTTGTGCCCGGTGCGGCTGGCCCCCCCTGCACCCCCCACGCTACGCCACTGGGGGAGAGTGTTCTTGTGCTTGAGTTCCCACAGGCATCTGGTTGGTCACTGTGCAAACAGTATGCTGGACTAGCTAAGCCAGGTCCCTGCAGTGCTTGTCAGAAGCCCAGTCCTGTTCTTGGCATGACAGTGTAAGTCCAGCAACTCTCTTAGCCAATCTCTTGCAGAAGCTGGCTTGACTTGTTTTTTAGGTCTTGCTGAATCCATTAATCAAACCCCACATTTACTAATACCAGAAATTATGGGGAGAACCTGGCAACCAATAATTTTAGGAGAAAGTTTCCACCTGCAAACCCATAACAATGCAAACAGCAAATGGGGCGGTAAGATTGTTGTTCCTGGACTGTGTCTTATCAGACTGCAGGTGGAGGCGGGGGGTTTGCATATTTAAATGCTACCCCATTAAAAAGGTTTTCTACATAACATTCTATGTTGGAAACAAGAGTAGGCAAGAATCTGACTGTGGAATCTAGTTTCTATGCACAGTCTTTTGTTTTTATTAGGCAAAAGGTTGTGTCATTTGGTCCTCCACCAAAAACCCATGGGTCCCCTCTTCCCTGAAACTGGGCTTGAAAGAAGCATTCTGTTGTAGCCAGTAGAATAGTGTTACAAAAGCTGGGTGCCTGCCCCTCTCTGCCGAGTGGTGGCAAGAGCCCATGGGGTCCCAGGCACACACACAGGGTCTATGTCCCTTTGGGGGATAGAAGACACGGTCGAGACTGTTCTGGCTTTAAGAAATATGGTTTAATCACCTATTTTCACCTTAAGTCTGCACTGATCTTATAGTATGGTCCTTTCCTGAAGCAGTTGTGCAAGCAGTTTTGCCAGCATCCCCTTCCAGCTTTTCTTCCTCCTCCTTCTTCCCGGAAATCTCTTGCCCTCTCCCAGAGCAGTTACCCTGGCAACTTCCCAAATTCCCAGTCTCTAGTCACACCTGGGGCGGGGGGGGGGGGAGGAGTTCCTTTGTATTGTTAATGGCCCTCTATGAACCGTTGCTTGGTCCCTGCTCCTGCCAACCTAGCAGTTCAAAAGCACGTCAAAGTGCAAGTAGATAAATAGGTACCACTCTGGCAGGAAGGTAAATGGCATTTCCATGCGCTGCTCTGGTTTCGCCAGAAGCGGCTTAGTCATGCTGGCCACATGACCCAGAAAAACTGTCTGCGAACAAATGTCGGCTCCCTCGGCTAGTAAAGCGAGATGAGTGCCGCAACCCCAGAGTTGTTCACGACTGGACTTAACTGTCAGGGGTCCTTTATCTTTTACGAAAAGCTTGGCCTATCACTCAACATCCAAAAAACCAAAGTGCTGCACCAACAAGTACAAAATAACCCCTCTGCAACACCACAAATCCAACTCAATGGCATAATGTTGGAAAATGTTGATCACTTCTCCTACCTGGGCAGTTATCTTTCCACAAGGGCTGAGGTTGATGCCAAAATCCAGCATCGCCTGAGCTCTGTGAGTGTGGCTTTCTCCCAATTGAAGTGCAGAGTGTTTGAGGACCGGGACATTCACAGGGAAACCAAAATGCTTGTTTACAAAACTATCATACTACTAACCTTAGTGTATGCTTGTGAAACATGGACCACTTATAAACGCCATCTCCAACTCCTTGAAAGTTTCCATCAAGGGTGTCTCTGAAAAATTTTACACATCACTTGGGAAGACAGGCGACTAATACCAGTATACTAAAAGAAGCAAAGATCACTAGTGTTGAAGCGACGATTCTTCAACATCAACTTCATTGGACTGGTCATGTTGTGCCGATGCCTGATTATCGTCTTCCAAAGCAACTACTCTATTCTGAACTTAAAAATGGAAAGTGTAATGTTGGTAGTCAACAAAAGAGGTTTAAAGACTGTCTCAAGGCAAATCTTTAAAAATGTATTATAAACACCAACAATTGGGAAACACTTGCCTGCAAGTGCTCCAATTGGAGAACAGCCTTTACCAAAGGTGTCATGGGCTTTGAAGACACTCGAACTCAGGATGCAAAGGAGAAACGTGCAAATGCACACCGTGATCAACTCCTGCCCAGAAACCAATGTCCCCACTATGGAAGGATGTGTGGATCCAGAATTGGCCTCCACAGTCACTTACAGACTCATTGTTTAAACTGTATTTATGGAAGACAATCTTACTCGGCTACGAGTGATCGCCAAAGAAGAAGAGATTGTTCTCTTGATAGCCATAGCTCGCCAGGTTAGTTTGCATAAGCCAGCCCAGGAATTCCCTGTCTGGTACATATCCCCATTAATCAAAATCCTAGTATTTATTCATTCTTAGGATTTAGTGGGGACCCCCCCCCTAGATCCATAGCAATAGATTCTGTGTGTGTGTGTGTGTGTAGTACCCACAAATGGGCCCAAAAAGTTTGCCAACCCCTGCTTTAACAGAACCTCAGGTTCTTTCACCTTCTGCTTGGTCTTGCCTGTGTTATTTCTCTTTCCTCCCTCACTTGTATGCAGACTGTTAAGAGTGTCCTCCTCCCTGCACCTGCTTAGCATATGGACAGTAGAGCTATTTGTTGCTTTATCCCTCAGGTTGTGCCCAATATTCAGGCTGTAGCTAACTGGTCTCACAGGTTGCTGGTGAAGCTGGGCATCCCCAATATGCTGTATGATGAGGTTCCTAACTTTCCCTTGGATTACTACACCTGTCATTTCAAGGCAAATAAATTACCCTGGTAAGAATTTGGAATTAATTATTCTTTGACCCACCCTCTTCCCAAATTAGAGCAGACATTCAGCTATATATAAATGTCACTATTTTGGTTTTAGTTGCTGTTTTTGATTTTCCACTATCTGCTGCTTTCATGTAGCACCTTCTCGTTGCTTTTATTGATGTTGGGAGATGGCTTTTGGAAAGCTCCCACAGGGGCTTTTCATGTGGAAAAACAGGGCAAAATTTTCAGAAATACATCTTACTACCGGCTTTAAGGTTGCAATTCTATATCCACATACCCAGGAGTAAGCCCCATGAAACTCGGATGGACTACTTAGTTGACATGGTTAAGACTGCAGTTTGTGGATACAAAAAAGTCACAATACCAGTCATATTTGGGGGTCAAGTGTACCTTAGTAAACCCATGTGAACAAGATACCTCATGGACGTTATTAGGCATGACCCCACTTGCAAGTTTAAAAATATCATGCCTTTATTAAGACCTTCCCTTTTCCAATAAGACAATATATGCAGAAGTTTTGTTTTTCTTGTATTACAAATACTTACCTTTTAGGATACAACTCCTTCCGAGTCTGCTTACAGTAAACCTTAAACTAAACTTTAATCTTAAAAACCACAATGAACAACATAAATATATTAAGAAGTAATCAGGATCCCTCCAACAAGGCAGTTGGTGATAGAATGGCCTAGTGGGGTTGGGGAGGGGAGACCAACTGAATCGGGCCTTGATGCCATCTTCTTCAATATCACATCCTTCTCTCTCTAAAATGTTCTGTATATTGATGCTTGTTTTATATTCTATTATACATCACCTAGAGACTTGTTGCATGAGGCAGCTGATAAATAAGTAACTGGGGTCAACAGTGCCTCACAAACTATATGTGAGGATCTGAGGGCTTATGTACACTTTACTTTCCTCTGCTCTTTCCAGGCCAGGTATCCTCTGAGATTTAAAGTTCTGTGTCCGAATTCCCTTTTTTCTGCTCTAGAGCTTTCTTTGCAAAAACCTGCTCTTTAAAGCTCAGTTGGAGCAAATGTCAATCCACAGAAAACCCGAATTGACGTTTGCTCCAATTCAACTATAAAGAGTTGGTTTTGTGGAGAAAACTTGGGGCAACACAATGCACCCCTGCACACTCTGACACGGAGCATTAAAGTATGGACTTCTGCCTGGAAAGAGCGTGGCAAAAGCTAAGTGTGAATAAGCCCTAATTATTTCAGAAGTTTTTTAAACACACACACATTATATTTTACCAATAACTTCTCCTTTTCTCGGGTTGCATACACATTGCGTATACATTTAAATCACATTCAAAGTACATTTCTCCCCTCAAAGAATTCTGAGCACTGTAGTTTACCCCTTACAGAGTTACAATTTCCAGTAAGCTTTAACAAACAACCATTTTCTTGAGGGGGAAAATATGCTGTGAATGCGCTCTAAAGTTTCAGTGTGTATGCAGCCTTGGTGTTAGAAATGGTAGGCTCTACAATTTCTGAGGCTGCCTCTCCTGACATTCCTGGTGATCTGCATATGTGTCTAGTCTTTTTTGATCAGAGATCTATAGTCTAGACCATGCAGTATTCTTCATATTCGTTAAGAATTAAAAATTATTACAGTGGTACCTTGCTTTTCGAACATAATCTGAGTTCTGAAATGTTCGAAAACAGAAAACTCAATAGCTGACAGCTAGGCCTCAGGATTTTGCACTCAGCGGAAGCCGCGTGGCATGTTCGACTTCCCAGGCATGTTCGAAAACCAAAGCATTTACTTCCGGGTTTACGGCATTCAAAAACCAAAATGTTCATCAATGGAGACGTTTGAAAACTGATGTACCACTTTATTTGGCATTAAAAGCAATTATTCTCTCCTGTTGTGCAAGCTCTGCTTTGAATTTTCAGTAAGTTGTTGTTGTTGTTAATACGTATTAAACATTTCTCTCCAAGGTTTCTTGGGAGTGAACATCACGATACCTTCTTCAACACCACACAGCGACACAGAATAGTAAGTCCCAAGTCCACATGGTGAAATGAATGCAAGCCTGGTGAAGTATGCAATGGGAACTGGAATTTGACTGCAGCTTCAGCACTCTTGATGGGTTTTGATATCCACCCAGTATAGTTACTGACGGGGCACAGAATCAAACAAACAAACATTTCACTTTTTTCCTCATCCTGGCCTTTATTCTCTCTCTCCTTATTCAGTTTTTATCTGCTATTTTCTTCTTTGGTTGCCACTTTTTCTCCATTCATCTCTCTGTACAACGCCTGGCCTGTTTTGCCATTTCATTGGTCTCAAGATTCCCTTTCCTGCTTCTTAACTGAGCGTAGCAGGTAGATTTATCTGTGATGACATTATGTTAAAAAAAGGTAAAGAAAGAAAAACCAAGTCCTGTCATCCAAATTAAAGTATAGCCAGACTCCTGATAATGAGAGAAGGAAATGTAAAGTGAGAAGCAGAATATGAACAGTTAATCAGAATGATGGTGGAGAGGTACTATTGCAGATTTACTTTTTTTTTTTTTAATATGGATGATGTAGAAGTCAAAATAACCTCTTTGTGCTTCCCTTCAGCTATATGAGATCCTGGCCACCACGTCATATGGCAACCCTAAGGCAGGACAGGTTGGAATAGAAAGGTTGTTGAATGAGGAGGTCTTCACAGCTGCATTCCCATTGCATGATGTAAGTTGGCAAGTGCTCTTCCTATTCCACTTTCAAATGGGTTAGTTAGCCCATAGTGACACTGAAATAGAAAACAGGGAGATCTGAGAACACGAGCAGGCTGGCAGTGGCCTCAGACGAAGGTCTTTCCATCATCACCTGCTACCTGACCCTTTCAAAAGCGTGATGAACCTTTGGCCCGCCAGTTGTTGCTGAACTACAAATCCCATCAGCTCTGTCCATTGGCCATGCTTACTAGGGCTGATGGGAGTTGTAGTTCAGCAACAACTGGCGCACCAAAGGTTCCCCCCACCTGCTTTAACTGGAGATTCCAGGATGCCTTCTGCATGGTAATGACCCTGCCACTGATTTTGTGGAAATGTATGTCTCCAAGGACATCACAAAACTGTTCGCTCTCAAGTATACAATCTTCCTGAAACAGCAGAATACAGGATGTGCTAATTATGTATATAGGGAACAGGATCCTATGTAAAGTCTAGATTTGGAGTTGTATACAATGAATTCCACTTTAGAGTGTACTTCTTTGCTGCAGAATGCTGTTTATATTGGCTAAACAGTTGGGCCTACATATTACCATAGATGGCAAAGAATCAAATGATCTCTTTTAAATCTTCAGCTAGGTCTTTTAAGTAGGCATTTTACTCCTTTACAATACTGTAGTAATTTCACAAACAGAACATTAAACCCAAGGTGAGGCTTCTTCAGGTATCTGCAATGGCACAGGAAAAGTGAAACTAAAGTAATTATTTTGGCCCTAGGCAAGTGTTACGGAACATCACCAAATGCAAACAAATAGATATACTGGATCCTTTCCTTGTAGCCTAAAAACACCGGCCTTATTTGGCTTGCATTTGCCTTTGATCTGTCTGCATTTGAAATGGAATAAAGATTTGCAGGACTTGCTGAGCTTTCAAAATCTGAGTTCTGACCTACTTTGGGAGCTAAACAGCTATTTGCTTTATTTTAAAAATAAGTAAATTTGATGTAGCGGAGTTTGAGAACCCTGACTTTACAGCTCATGAATTATTCTGACTGTGCTGTAGATAGTTGGGAGAAATTCAGTTCGGTTTGCATCATAATGCGAGCTTACCCAGTTTGTTCTTTCCAAAGCAATACATGAACCAAAACGCAGCCGTCCTCCAAAATTTGCAATTGATGTGGGAAAATGGGAAACTGGACTTAAGCTTGGAAAGATGAAAAACTGAGTGAAACCAAATTTGACAGATTCCTTCATCCCTAGCTGAGTGTAGAACATCTGACTGAGTTTTGGCAAGAAAAACCCACTCCTTTCAGATATCTAAATATCTCCTTGATTGTTCGGAAGACAAAGAATATACTTACAGTTTTGGATTTTGTTCATGCGATTCTGTGAAAGAGTGAATAGGTTTAATATTGGGCACCCCCTTTTCTCTGTTACAAATGAGGAAGCGTTGGTTTTTTGTTTTTGTTTTTAAATACATGTTAAAATTGTGACCTATTCATGTAGGCTGCAATTGATTATTCTATTTTTAAAAGTTACGTTCTTCAACTCTTAACAGGGAATTTCTGCAAGTTAATATAAAACACAGCACATTTTAAACAAATCTGTACTTGATATGGGTACTTTCCCTCTTCTGCCAAAAGGGTCCCTACAAGATTCCCCAGAAGGAGATCCCCCATATTCAGCTAAATCAGAGGCAGATTCTTTTCCATTACTGGGCCCAGTGGAGTAAGTGGAATAAGTACCAGCCATTGGATCACATCCGCAGGTACTTTGGGGAGAAGATTGCTCTCTACTTTGCCTGGCTTGGTGAGTAAAAGGCCGCTTATGCCCATTTCCCTAGCATCTTGTTCTAGTGCCAAACTGAGCCCAGCGTGGTTATCTTGAAATGGATTGCCCCTCCTATTTGCTCCATAGGCCATAGCTGTCAATGTTTCCCTTTTTTTAAGGGAAATTCCCTTATTCCGAATAGGATTCCTTGCAAGAAAAGGGGAAAATTGACAGCTATGTCCATGGGCATGGGCATGTCAGTCAGTACAAACTGTTAGCCTGTTCTCCAACCTGGCAAAAATGGGCATTTTAGTAAGCCAGGTAATGGAGAACTGGGGGCATTTCAGCATTACAGACTTTAACTGGTTTTGTAGTCATTCCCTGGAACTAAAGGAATTATGGTTCACTGGAGGAAGAGATCTGGAATCTCTGACAACAATATAGTCGTCAACTATTCTATGGAAAAAGGCATGACTGGGTAGTATAAAACCAATATAAGTTTGTAGTGTAGAATAGTGTTTTAAAAACGTGATTCATTTTGCTGTATGCAACGTAAGAAAGTTTGCCCATGGAGGAAATAGATCAGTGCTTTTCTTGCAGTCAGAATGCACCCATTCACATCCCTAGTCCTAGCACTTTGCTATGCTTGGGAATATAAGCCTTTTTTGTAAGATGGGTCCTTTCCACAAAATGAATTTAATTGGTTCTGGCTTTCTGGAAAGCAAGTTGGTGATGGGCAACAGCTAGACATAGGTAGCCAGGGCTCCCCTTCTGCAGTTCTAATATGCTTTTTCCTCTCTTCGTTTAGGTTTCTACACTGGATGGCTTTTGCCAGCAGCTGTAGTGGGGACACTAGTCTTCATAATAGGCATATTTATGATGCTTGATGACATCCCTACGTAAGTTCTAATTTCTTCTCTTCTTTCTCACTTTTCTGCTTGTAAAACCACTGACAAGCCATTTGGCTTTGTAACCCCCGGCTTTTTCACAGATCTGGAGCAGAATGTGGCAGAGATTTCTGCTCGTTAGAAATACGTTCCTTGGGGATATCAATAGAATGTGAATGGTGGCTTTGCCGATGCAGCTAGTGTTAAGTGGTACCTAATGTGGCCAGACTTATCCTTGCAAGAATGGGAAAGGTGGCCTTAGGAACAGCAAGAGCCAAAGGCCAGAAAAACAAAGTGTTTTTTGAAGAGAAGCTATGAGTCAGTAATTTTAATGTGGTGGGTTAATTGCTTTTTTTTCCCTACCCTTTTATTTTTGCTCCCATCTGCACAACAGGAAGGAGATCTGTACCAGTGAGGGGAAATACAACATGTGCCCACTCTGCAAAGTCTGCCCCTATTGGAACCTCTCCACCATTTGCCCAATGTTTCAGGTACAGTTTGTGGCTCTGGGACAGCACTGATTCAAGCATAACAGTGAAGCATTTGTCAACACTTCATTAAAGTCATGTGTTAGATTAGGAGTACGTTGTGTGTTCTCAGATAAAGGGTCACACAGAAAAGTACATTGGCTTTACTGTGATATGCTGATCTTCTACACTTCCATGTGGTTCAGATAGCCTCCTCCACACTTACTTTGCCTTGAGCCTATGTACTTGCCCACAGACTCAAGGCAAGACATCAGCTATGTGCTATCAGCTTCCACGTAAAAAATAATTTGATCCAGCCTCTGTTCATGTAGCATTTGTTCACCAGCATTAAACTGATACTCAATCTTTCACATTGCGTAACACAACTTTTCGAACTCAGGTCTTGCTTTTAGTGCATAATGCAACTAGCTCCACCTTTATCTTTTGGGGCCAAACTACATGCAACGGCAACAGGCCCATATCTTAAAATGTAGGTTTGCCTTTAAATGCATGTAAAGTGGGTGACTGAGATTTAAAGGGACTTGTGGGCAGGGAAGGTTTAGCAGGAACCGTGTTTGTCCCCCTTTGCTTCTTTAAACCACACCCCTGCTCCTCACTTTGTGATTTGGGTAGAACTGCATTTTAAAAACTGGGCTATCTGTAATTTGCCCTTGATACAAAATTCATCGCCCCTCTGTCCCAGTCTAAGAGTGTTTTGGCCCATGCTTAAGTGCAGCTCCTTCCCCTTTTTCCCCTATTCTTTTCAGGCTGGTCGCCTCTTTGATCATGGTGGGACTGTCTTCTTCAGTATCTTCATGTCTTTATGGGCAGTCACATTCCTTGAATACTGGAAGCGGCTGAATGCTACCTTGACATACCGCTGGGACTGTTCAGACTTCGAAGATATTGAGGTACTAGCCTTGCGGGGGGGGGGGACTCTAATACCACAAAAGGCCAACAGTGACACAGAGCCCACTTCAGGTTTCCTTTGTTGTAGGAACGTCCACGGCCCCAATTCACTGCTATGGCACCCATGACAACCACAAATCCAATCACTGGAGCGGAGGAGCCCTATTTCCCCACACGGAGCCGTTTCAAAAGAATCATGGCTGGATCAATGGTCATCATCATGATGGTGAGGGAGCTGCTATTTGAGGGTGGAGGCGTAAAATAGGATGGACTCTTGAGTAGGGATAGGGGAGAAATTCGATACAGTTCACATTTAGTGGTGAATCTATCTAATCTGCACTTTCAAAAACAGCATGAGAACTGAAACACAGGCGTCATTTGACATTCGTACTTATCTGAATTTTGCAATGCAGCGCTCCAACCAATGTTTACAAAAATGCATACATTAGGTAAAAGATGTGTTCAGTTGAATATATTAGTGAACATAACATAAAAATGCATTATATTAAGTCCAAGTCTGCTGTGGCTGTGGGAGAAGCCAGAACCTCATGGGTGTTAATGCTGTGAAGCCCACTATCATAGGCTCAGGTTGTATATGTGTGTAAATAAACCATATATCATAAGACATTACAGTCTCTACTGTGCTTCATTTCTAAAAGGAAGCACATACCCTGGGTAAGTGCATCTGGTACCCCTTGAATCTCACATCACTCAGGGAGATTGGGATGGCGTGTAACAATATGTGATATTTGCCCTCACTTCCTCTCTCTTGGTTACCATTACTACTTCTTGCTTTTTGTTTGGATCAAAAGCCAAGGAAAAAGCCACTCAGAAGGGAGGAAATCACGGTTTCTATGTCTGTTGCGGCTTCTATGGTCATTATTGATGACTGACTCCTCACTGACACTCCTCTGCCTCACTAAGGGCAGTTCCACACAACACACTTAAAGCATATCCAATGCACATTTAAAGCAGACGATTCCCACCAAAGAATCCTGGGAATTCACTGAGTGACTTTAGGCGAGTTGCTATGTCTTGTAGCCTAACCTACCTCACAAGGTGGTTGTGATAAAAAGTTGATTCCATGGAGGAAAGACATGATGTAAATGTAAACAGATAAAAAGAAATAAAAATCAGATAAAGCCACATGCCGCCTTGAGCTTGTTGGAGACAGGAAGGATGGATATAAATGTAAGTAAATAAGTAAAAAAAAAGTCCTCCCCAAGTCATAGTAACAGATCCATTTACAATAATAAGACAGCAAACTCATATTATTAGTACTCATTCAGCTGGTTCTGTCTTCAGATTGCTGTGGTGGTGATGTTCCTGATTTCGATAATCCTTTACCGGGCCATCATTGCCGTAGTTGTAGCCAAGTCTGGGAAATACCTTCTTGTAGCTTCGGTAAGATACTTCCATGACTCTCTACCACTTTACCTTAGGTGTGCTGTTTGCATTTGGACTTCACATTCTCTCCTGTTTCCCCCTCTTAGGCTTCTCGTATTGCTAGCCTCACTGGCTCAGTGGTGAACCTCCTCTTCATCCTCATCCTATCAAAAATTTACACTTCACTGGCACTTTTTCTTACCAAGTGGGGTAAGTAGGCTGTATCTGGAAAGACCAAAGCAGGTTCTCAACCTGAAGGTGCGGCTTCTTGAAACCAAAACATTAAACCGGGGCTTGAATTTGTGGGAGAGGGGCAGGCAAATAGAAGATCTTTATTGAAATCCACAAGCCTTACTTCCTAACTCACCCTAATATTAACTAAATTGTGCCTTGCCATAGTCTTCTAAAAGCACCAGCTAAAGTGGGTGGCACTAAACGTTTTTATGGTGGTGTATAGAATCTGGAATCCCCAAAAGAGGATTTGTTTACTATCTTCTTAGGGCTTGGTTTAAATCTTTGCTGTGAATTTTGGATGACATTTTGGAATATTGCCTTGCTCTGATCTTTATAGTTGTTTAAAAGTCTGCTTCTTATTTTTCCTGCATATTTTTCATGTTTAAATTTTGGGATCTTGATTGCATGAGCATCTCCCTCATTAGTAGGCAACCCTCTGCAGACATCTGCACTCAGTTCACAGGCATCCAGAGAAGGGTTTGAGTGGGTCTGGGGGCACAGCCTCACTCTCCTTCCATACAGTACCACTACATGTAAAATAAAGGGGTGAATATGGCTTAAATCAGAAATTACAAGAGTTGTTTTTCATCCATCTCAGCCACAGTATTTCATTAAACTAGAAGGTACTTGTAACCCACAATGTGCATTAGAATTCTGTGACACTGAGATGGTTGGGGGTGGAGTTTGAGTCACCTTTGTTCCCTTCAAGAATTAAGGATGCTCCTGTTGTGATTTACCACTGAGAGGGCTTGGAAGTTCCCACCATTCTTGTGGTACTCTATTATGTTTTTTCTTCCATAGAGATGCATCGTACACAGACCATGTTTGAAGATGCGTTCACCTTCAAGGTGTTTGTCTTTGAGTTCATCAATTTCTACTCCTCTCCCATCTACATTGCGTTCTTTAAGGGCAGGTAAGCTGTTTTGGAGATGGGCAGCTTCTCTAAAGTGGATGCCATTTTAACTCTGTGGCCTAGGCATACTTGAAAGACTCATCTGCACCATTGAAATATGCCCCTACTACACGCTCACATTTGTATAATTCTGTATCCTCCTTCCCCATAATTCTGTTTCCATAACATGATATCCCATCTGCATTCAGTTTAGAGAACAGGACTACTTTCATTAGTGTGGGAAGAATACAGACACACTATTGCCTACATACTATTGTAGGTGATCTAACCATGGCCAAACTATGAGGAGAGCCCTATCTCTTGGCTGTGCCATGCTTTCTGACTTTACTGTAGCACATACCAATGGAACTCTCCACAGTTGGCTACTGTGAGAACAGGATGCTAGACTAAATGGGCTATTGGCCTCACCCATCAGGCTCTTCTTAAGTTCTGCCCCCCCCCAACAATAAAAAGCTCTGTGCAATATTTTTCAACACTGGGTCTCCAGGTGTGTTTAGAAAAATCATTAAACTGCCTAACCAAATCTACACATATATATTTCTCTATGGTGTAGATGTTGGGCTGAAACTCCCATCATCTCCAGTCAGCTTAGTCAATGGCCCGGGATGATGGGAGTTGTAGTCCAGACATATCTGGGGACCCAAGGTTGAAGAGCAGTGGTCTAGGCCACACAGAAAGAGAGTGGAACTCAAGAAGAGAGGACTTCTAGCCATTCTTTTGAAGGTGTGGTCTTGCTCCACCACTCTTATCCTCATCCAAGTTAAATTCAGTAGCAAACTGATGCTTCTTCTGATCCAGCCAAGTCTCAGATGTAGTAAAACTCAAAATTCAGCAGGAATTCTAGCTGCAAGTAGTTGCTATTGATAGCCATTGAGGAAAAAGTGAGGCCCTGTTGCCATCTACTGCCCAGAAGTAGTTATAGTTTATAATGCGAATCCTCAGCAGTGAGTATTAAAAAGTCAGACTGGTTGTAGGTGAACACAAGACTGAATGTGCCAGCTATGTTAGTTTGTGATGTTTGCAATGACCTTGGGATCCTGAATCCAGGCATAGCTGGAAGGTTATGGTGGAAAGACTGGTTTCTTTGGGTCAAACTAAATATTATGCATAAAAAGTAAAACTCTACAGACCTTAAAAGAAGAAAAAGAAGCTATTAGGAGGTAGTGGTCGGAAGTAGAGAAGTCCTGGAGGAGATCTTGACCTGTAAGTAAATGTTGCATATAAATGTGTGTAATAAAATCCATTGGACCATCTATAGGACACATCTAAAAACCTGGCTACCTGTGAGGGTGTGAAGAGGCAGGGGAAAGGTTAAGCACCTCTCAAGGCTTCTTTGCTTCAAATTGTCCCTGGCCAAACTGACATTTTCTAAAAAAGAAAAGGGGAAAAAAGAAAAAGAAAAAAGATGAGGCCCTTCTGGTTGTTCTGCAACCTGCAGAGATCTTTTGGTGCATTTTCAGTAGGGAGGCTTTCTCATTGAATTAAGGCAGGCACCAGCAATGATGGCATTTTGGTGTCTGCTAAAAATCATTTGTTCTTTTGAGCCTTTGCTGGACACTAATATTTTGACCCAATGTTTGCTGCCATGTTATTTATTCTGTAAATAAGTTTTCATGTTGTTTTGCACACCACCTTGTGATTGTTGTATGAAAGACAGTTTAGAAATCATTAAAATAAAAATCAGCAAGGGACCGTTGCGGATTCTTATGTACATGCTTGGAGAGAGAGCAGGGAATGCCTGCCCCCCTTTCCCTGTAATGTGCTTGGACCAGCTGAAGTTAGTGCTTTTCAGGATCATTGCTGTACAGTGGAACCTCGTGTTACGTACCGTCCTCCTTGCAAACGCTGCGGGTTACGAGCTCTGCTAACCCGGAAGTAGATGCTCCCAGTTGTGAACTTTGCCCCGGGATGCGAGTGGAAGTCACGCACCGGCAGCACGGCAGCAGCAGGAGGCACCATTAGTGAAAGCGCGCCTTGGGTTATGAACGGTTTTGGCTTAAGAACGGACCTCCGGAATGAATTAAGTTTGCAACCAGAGGTACCACCATACTCCTCTTTTCTATGAGTCTGAGAGTTGTGCTGGCTGAGCCATTTGAGGCAGCAAATTGTATGAAGGTGCCTTGTGATTGGTTACAGTAGATGGCATTCTGGTCACTGCCAGCCTTTTTCCTGTGGCTTCTCTTTATGCACAGAGTAGGATGTTTATGCCATGAGTAAAGAAAGACCTTTCAGCTGACTGTCTTGGCCTTTTATTTTTATTCTTTCTTCACCTTCAGGTTTGTAGGCTATCCAGGACGCTATTCCACATTGTTGGGTATCCGCAATGAAGATGTAAGTATCTAAAAAGAGAGCAGTGCAGGACACGAACTCTAGAAATAACAGCTGATTAGGGGTTGTTCTAGAGTGGCTGGCACCATTAGCAGGCCGTAAGGGACGTTTAAGACTGGAGTTAAACTCTGTATAATAAATGCACCAATAAAATAAAGAAGGCACCCTCTTTGCCAAGGAAACAGGGCCAGCCATTCCAAAGGCAGAGGCCAGATAAAGAGGGCATCAGGCTCAATGCTGGGAGTGGATGTTTCTCTAAAAACCAAAATAATCCCTCTTCTAGCTCCATCTATCCAATGTCAAGTGCTTTTAGCCAGATTATTATTATTATTTATTGAATTTATATCCCACCCTTTATCCTTAAAGAGCACAGGGCAGCAAACAGATATACCATTTAAAAACAAAACAAAGCAGAAACAGATTTAGACGTTCTGAAAACAATTACGTTTAAGGACATACAATTAAAAAGACTCATTCATTCTTTCCTTCCCCGACGTTTTAATGTGGTGGAAATCTTTTAAGTAGGCATGATGTGCTCTGAGACCCAGTGTTTGGTGTAGAGATTCCCAGGGGAGTAGAGAATTGAGGTTTCCTTTTCACCAGCAGCAAATGAAGTAGTTAAGCTGTCTCTAGACTCTTTCTCTACAGATGAGGGATTACATGACTAAATACTTCTCCATATAGAAACATTCTCTGCAGACAGAAAGCCAAGATTTCAGGGGAAATGGTTCTGGTGTTCTGTGTATGGTAATATCCCCCTACCCCTATGAAGGAGCATTCCATCATGTGAGCCTTCATTCTCCAACAATATAGCAAAGTTCTTGGGCATGAGGTCTGAGTGACTGTTAATTGTTTCTCTGCTGCATCATCCTTCTAAAGCCTCTCTCTGTTTTCTCCAGTGTGGTCCAGGTGGCTGCCTCATTGAACTTGCCCAAGAGCTGCTTGTCATCATGGTGGGAAAGCAAATAATTAATAATGTACAGGAGCTCCTCATCCCGTGAGTCTTTGTGATCTTGTGCTTTGCTGCAATGGACTATCCAGACGTGGCCATACCTGTAGAGAATAAACAAGATGAACAGACATATCATTCCCCAAAATATATAGATTTTCACTAATGTATTAATTTTTGTGCACATTTCCTCCTAACATATACATTTTTGTAAAGGTTTGGTTGGAGAACTTCATCATAAAATCTGGATAAGTGCAAATTTTGAAGGAAGGTGTTATGTACTGAGTTGAATAGGATCCAAAATGCAGCAGTCTGATTGGTCCTAGAACAATAGGATTCAGAATGCAGCAGTCTGATTGGTCCTAGAACAATGCAGCAGTATGATTGGTCTGCAGGAGCCACCCAATCCAGCTCCAGATGGAAGTGAATCCACAACCTGATTGGCTTACAGGAGAATTCCATAATTAGCCAATCACGTGCAACCCACTGTGTAAATAATGTATACAAAGCAGATACTGTGGAGAAACATTTCATTCCTTCTCACCACTATGAGCTGAATAAAGAGCATGAAATTCACTCTAGACTCTGAGTATATTTCAGAAGGCTATATTTCGGTTCTCATATTGTTTCAGGAAGTGCTAATTTGATATGCTGCTTTAAATGATATGCTGCTCCTCCATCCCTACCTCAAGATGTTGTGGCACTACACCTCTGTCAGCCCTAGCCAACATGGTCTAGTGGTCAGGGAGGACAGTAGTTGTAGTCAAACAGCTTCTGAAAGATGCAACATTAGTTACCCCTACCCTATAGATTTAATTCTGGGGCTAGATCAAAACTCTGTCTAGGCCTAGATGCAGACATGTAGCCACTAATTGATCGTCTCTTGCTGAACAATAAGAGGGCAAAACCTGAACATGTTAACTATGTCTTCTTGCTCTCCACAGGAAGTTGAAATCATGGTGGCAGAAGCGGAAGTCTCACTCTAACAGGAATGAGGGCCAGGAAAGCTCCACGAAGCAGCTCTGGGAGAGTGATTACGAACTGCTGCCCTATGAAGGGCTCTTTAACGAATACCTGGAAATGGGTACGAATCATTTGGGAAGGAAGGAGATGAGCAACTGAGGACAGTTCCCTGACAGTTGAGGGTTTAGTCTGTGTAAGTGCGTGAGGCACACTGAGCCCTGTATCTCGCTTTGACTATACCATGTTCTCAGGTCAACCGTTCTGGTTCAAGAGCACTTGTGCTTGTTCCACTCACCCACCAGTTAGTAGCCCTAGAGGAGTGACAATTAGAATAAAGGTAAAGGTACCCCTGCCCGTACGGGCCAGTCGTGTCCGACTCTAGGGTTGCGCGCTCATCTCGCTTAAGAGGCTGGGAGCTGGCGCCGTCCGAAGACACTTCCGGGTCACGTGGCCAGCGTGACGGACAATTAGAATACATGGGGTCAAAAGCTTTATTCAGGTCAAAAGTGTGTGTGTATATCCTCCTAAGAAAAGGAACAACTTAGCAAATGCTATCCAAAGTTCCTGTGGACAGAATTCTTGTGTGGGCTCACCTACATTATCTCCTGCGTGGGATTTCTTTGCGCTTGCCTTCCCTTATAATGTCTTCTTTCTTTCCTCTTCAGTCCTGCAGTTTGGCTTCATTACCATCTTTGTGGCCGCCTGCCCCTTGGCACCTCTCTTTGCCTTGCTCAACAACTGGGTGGAAATTCGCTTGGATGCTCACAAATTTGTTTGTGAATATAGGCGGCCGGTTGCTGAGCGGGCCCAAGGCATGGGCATCTGGTTCCCTATCCTGGAAGTCATCACACACCTGGCAGTCGTTAGCAATGTGAGTAGCACTGGGTCAGGGTTCTCTGCGTGCAGCAATACTGAGCTGACTTAACGGTATGACTTAATAGAAGGCAGCTTCCTGGGTTGCTATGACTTTGCAGAGACTTGATACACATGTTGTGTAAAGAAGTTGGGGTAGGACAGAAAAGTGGGTGGATGTGTTCCATTTAACACCTGGAAACGAAATGGCTCTTTAGACAGAGACTATTACTGCGCCTCTCTTATTCCAGGCCTTTCTGATTGCCTTCACCTCTGACTTCCTCCCTCGGCTATATTACCAGTACACTCATGCCAGCGATCTACAGGGCTACATTGACTTCACCCTGGCCTATGCCCCAAAATCTTTTGTCCTGGAGCACAATGTCACATGCAGGTAGGACCTCCCACTTTTCTGTCTCAGCTGTCTTCCTCATGGGGGACATTGGACAGGTCCATTGCTTCAAAAATTAAACAGAGGCCAGGTTCTTGGAAAAATAGCTTGCCTATTTTGGGACAAAGTGTTTTCTCAGAAAATCAGATAGTGCAGGATTTAAAAAAAAAAAATTGGAGGGGAGAATCATGGACCACTGCACATGGAATAACATACCACATACTGTCATAAACATCTGGTATGGCAACTATCCCTTGTGGGAAAACTGGTATAATATTCACCAAGAAACCAAATACAGTGAGATGTGTAGTATGTTTACTCAGAAGTACATCTCTATATGTTCTGTGGGAAACATAGGAAGTTACTTTATATCAGGGGTCACCAACCCTTTTGAACTAGTTGGCATATTTCAAATTCTGACAAAATGGTGGGGCCATCAGTTTCAAAATGGCTGCCATGCGGGGTAGCATAACACAAAATGGCTACCATGGTGAGTATGGCATAGGATGCAGAGGCAAGTACCCCAGTACAAGGAAAAACATACAAGGTAGCCACATCACTCTACAGAAATTGCTTAAAGGGTACCCACACATTTTGTCTTATAACTTTCTTTCTCAGAGGACTAGGTGCTATGTTGGTGACCCCTGCCTTATGCAGAGTCTGACAATTGGCTTCAGTATTGTTCACAGTGACTTGGCAGCAGTAGTCCAGGGTTTCAGGGGACATTCCCAGTGCTACTTAGAGATGCCGGAGACTGAACCTAGGATTTTCTGCATGCAGTGCATATGCTCTACTTCTGAGCTATGTTCCTTCCCACCAGGCTTGTTCACAGAAAAGCATGTATAGGAATTGCAGCCCTGAAAATAAGCATCTTTTGGCTCTCCCCCCCCCCTTGCTATAACCAAGTGGACAGGAGACTTAATCTTTAGAATGACAACCAGGATCCGAATGCAGCAGGTCTCTGTTAGTTTAACTAAAGGGAAATGCAGCAGGTCTCTGTTAGTTTAACTAAAGGGAAATTAGTGGTGGCTTACAGGAAGGCATGGAGAGAAGCAATAGACATTTAGTTTGTTTCCTGCAAATGTATGGTTGCTATGCTGACTACTTCAGAGCTACTCAGCACACCTCTTTAACTTACAGCTCTATCTCCACAGGTACAGAGCATATCGAGAACAAAGTGGCAGGTATTCACTAGCTTATTGGAATCTACTGGCAATCCGCCTTGGCTTCATAATTGTATTTGAGGTTTGTTTCCCTCCAAGTGTCCCCAGAATGCTGCTCTACAAACAAGAGGTCCCATTTACATCTAATAATAATAATAATAATAATTTATTATTTATACCCCGCCCATCTGGCTGAGTTTCCCCAGCCACTCTGGGCGGCTCCCAATCAGTGTTAAAAACAGTACAGCGTTACATATTAAAAACTTCCCTGAACAGGGCTGCCTTAAGATGTCTTCTGAATATCAGGTAATTATTTATCTCTTTGACATCTAATGGGAGGGCGTTCCACAGGGCGGGCGCCACTACCGAGAAGGCCCTCTGTCTGGTTCCCTGTAGCCTCACTTCTCGCAATGAGGGAACCGCCAGAAGGCCCTCGGCGCTGGATCTCAGTGTCCGGGCTGAATGATGGGGGTGGAGACGCTCCTTCAGGTATACAGGACCAAGGCCGTTTAGGGCTTTAAAGGTCAGCACCAACACTTTGAATCGTGCTCGGAAACGTACTGGGAGCCAATGCAGGTCTCTCAGAACCGGTGTTATATGGTCCCGGCGGCCACTCCCAGTCACCAGTCTAGCTGCCGCATTCTGGATTAATTGCAGTTTCCGGGTCACCTTCAAAGGTAGCCCCACGTAGAGCGCGTTGCAGTAGTCCAAGCGTGAGATAACTAGAGCATGCACCACTCTGGCGAGACAGTTCGCGGGTAGGTAGGGTCTTAGCCTGCGTACCAGGTGGAGCTGGTAGACAGCTGCCCTGGACACAGAGTTAACCTGCGCCTCCATGGACAGCTGTGAGTCCAAAATGACTCCCAGGCTACGCACCTGGTCCTTTAGGGGCACAGTTACCCCATTCAAGACCAGGGAATCCCCCACACCAACCCGCTCCCTGTCCCCCAAAAACAGTACTTCTGTCTTGTCAGGATTCAACCTCAGTCTGTTAGCCGCCATCCATCCTCCAACCGCCTCCAGGCACTCACACAGGACCTTCACCGCCTTCACTGGTTCTGATTTAAAGGAGAGGTAGAGCTGGGTGTCATCTGCGTACTGATGAACACCCAGTCCAAACCCCCTGATGATCTCTCCCAGCGGCTTCATATAGATATTAAAAAGCATGGGGGAGAGGACAGAACCCTGAGGCACCCCACAAGTGAGAGCCCAGGGGTCTGAACATTCATCCCCCACCACCACTTTCTGGACACGGCCCAGGAGGAAGGAGCGGAACCACTGTATGACAGTGCCCCCAGCTCCCAACCCCTCTAGACGGTCCAGAAGGATGTTATGGTCGATGGTGTCAAAGGCCGCTGAGAGATCCAGCAGAACTAGGAAACAGCTCTCACCTTTGTCCCTAGCCCGCCGGAGATCATCAACCAGTGCGACCAAGGCAGTTTCAGTCCCATGGTGAGACCTGAATCCCGATTGGAAGGGATCCAAATGGTCCATTTCCTCCAGGCGTGCTTGGAGTTGTTCAGCAACCACCCGCTCAATCACCTTGCCCAAGAATGGCAGATTTGAGACTGGGCGATAGTTGGCCAAATTGGCCGGGTCTAAAGATGTTTTTTTAAGAAGCGGTTTAATGACCGCCTCTTTCAGCGGGTCTGGGAAGGCTCCCTCACAGAGGGAAGCATTCACCACCCCGCAGAGCCCATCGCCCAGCCCTTCCCAGCTCGCTTTTATCAGCCAGGATGGGCAAGGATCAAGGAGACAGGTGGTCGGTTTCACTTTTCCAAGCAGCCTGTCCACATCCTCGGAGGTAACAGACTGGAATTGATCCCATGTAACAGGACCAGACAGAACTCTAGCACTCTCCCGCCCTGGCCCTGCTCCCACGGTGGAGTCTACCTCCTTCTGAATCTGAGCGATTTTATCTGCAAAAAACGTTGCAAAAGCATTGCAGGAGATCTTGGGGTCCCTACCAGGCCCCGGTGGTACAGGTGGTTCCGATAGATTGCGAACCACCTGAAAAAGTCTCCTGCTGCTGTTTTCTGCAGATGCAATGGAGGCGGCGAAGAAGGCCCTCTTCGCCGTCGCCATTGCCACTTGGTAGGCTCGACGTTGAGCTCTAACCCGTGTCCGGTCTGATTCAGAATGAGTTTTCCGCCACCGGCGCTCTAGCCGTCTCAACGATTGTTTCATCACCCTCAGCTCCGGGGAAAACCACGGGGCTGTCCGGGCTCCATGCAATCGGAGAGGGCGCTTCGGAGCCAGACAGTCAATAGCCCTGGTTAACTCCGCATTCCAGCGTGCCACCAGGGAATCAGCTGAAAGGCCATCAACTTGGGATAAAGCATCCCCTACCACTCTCTGGAAGCCAATTGGATCCATTAAGTGGCGGGGGCGGACCATCCGAATCGGTCCCACCTCCCTGCAGAGGGGAAGAGTTGCGGAGAAGTCCAGTTGCACCAGGAAGTGATCTGACCATGGCACTTCTTTTGTTTCGCTTTTAGTTAGTGTCAGATCACCAACATCCATAGAGGTGAACACCAAGTCTAAGGCATGTCCATGGCTATGAGTTGGGCCAAACTTATTCAGGGACAGCCCCATGGAGGCCATGCTTTCCACGAAGTCCCGAGCGGCCCCTTGTAAGGTCGTGTCGGCATGGATGTTAAAATCCCCCAGGACAACCAAGCTAGGTGTCTCCAGGAGCATATCCGCCACGACCTGAAGCAGCTCGGGCAGGGAATCCTTGGTGCAGCGGGGAGGTCGGTACACCAGTAGGAATCCTGTACTGCCCCTATTGCCCAACTTCCAGAACATGCACTCAGAGAACTGGGTCTTCCCAATAGGACGCCTGGTGCAGACTAATGACTTCCTAAAAATCACTGCAACCCCCCCTCCCCGCCCACATGACCTGGGTTGCTGTGCGTAAGAGAAGCCTGGTGGGCAAGCAGCGGCAAGGACAGGCCCATCTGCTTCATCCAACCAGGTCTCTGTCACACATGCCAGGTCAAATCCTCCATCCACAATCAGGTCGTGGATGGCAGTGGTTTTATTCATCATTGACCTGGCATTGCACAGCAACACTTTCAGGTCATGTGGGTTTCCCTTGCTGATTCCAGTATCCTTCCGGTCAGGACCAGACCTGGAGGCAGGAATAGTCCTCAGACAACAACTAAACCTGCCTCCTCGGTAATGACATGGTCTGGTCTTAGCGTAACTCCTCCTCCTACCCATGATCACTGAGATCGGTTGTCCCAGTGCATCCCCCCCTGTGGAACATGCCCCAGCCATTTTGTTTGCTGGGACCCACTCCCAGGCAGCCCTGACCCCACCCCTTAAAAAGCAAAATACAAATTATATAATAATTTAACAGAATAATAATAATAATAAATAATAAAACAAAACAGAACAAAGTAAAACAAGAAACAATAGCGCTGACTAAATGCTTATCCCTCCCCAAGCAAAAATAAAATAGTAAAATAATATAATATTATAAAAAACAACAACAACCATTTAAGGTGCTGCAAATTAAAAACAATTAAAACATTTAAAACCATTTTGTCCATTGCTGCCGGTAGCTGCTCAGGCCTCTAAACTGTAGTGGTAGTGCAGGCCCCGCCCCCTAGGCCAGATGGAGTTGGCAGAGGAAGGAGCAGTCTTCCCAACACTCACACAAGCAGCAACAGCAGCCGTGTCCCGGAGGCCTCTCTCAGGCCTCTTATGCTGTGACGGTGAGTGCAGGCCCCGCCCCCTAGGCCAGATGGAGTTGGCAGAAGAGGGAGCGGTCCTCCCAACACTCACACGAGCAGTAACAGCAGCCGCGTCCTGGAGGCCTTGATGGAGGCCCTGGCAGTGAGTGCAGGTCCTGCCCCCTAGGCCGGATGGAGATGGCAGAGGAAGGAGCAGTCTTCCCAACACTCACACAAGCAGCAGCAGCAGCCGTGTCCCAGAGGCCTCTCTACCCACCTATTACAGCACTTACCATATTTGGGCAGTCCTATTTGGATTACATCACATGGTGGTGGAAGGACAAAAAAAAAAGTTGTGAAAAAGGGGTTGGGGAGCTGAAATGGTTACTGGAATATGCCCCTGCCCCAAAACATAACTTTTTGAACCGGCTCACTTGTTGTTTGCAGCCCTAATGTCATTATTTGTTTATAAAGACCCAGTGTTCTATAGTAAGGTAAAGGTAAAGGGACCCCTGACCATTAGGTCCAGTCATGACGGATTCTGGGGTTGCGACGCTCATCTCGCTTTATTGGCAGAGGGAGCCGGCGTACAGCTTCTGGGTCATGTGGCCAGCATGACTAAGCCACTTCTGGCAAACCAGAGCAGCGAACGGAAACACTGTTTACCTTCCCGCCGGAGCGGTACCTATTTATCTACTTGCACTTTGATGTGCTTTCGAACTGCTAGGTTGGCAGGAGCAGGGACTGAGCAACAGGAGCTCACCCCGTCGCAGGGATTCGAACCGCCAACCTTCTGATCGGCAAGTCCTAGGCCCTGTGGTTTAACCCACAGCACCACCTGCGTCCCTAGTGTCCTACAGTACAATATGTCATATGTTGACTGGAGCCTCGGAGACAAGGTTCAAATCCCACTCAGCCATGAAACTCACTGGGTGATCTTGGGCCAGCCCGTGTCTTCACCTAACCTCTCTCATACAATTGTTGTGAATATAAAATGGGGAGGGAATAGAGTCATGTACTACACCTCGAGTTCCTTGGAGGAAAGGTAGGATATAAATGTAATAAATAAATAACCCCCTCTTTCTGAATTTACTTCAGACATTGGCACGTAGGCAACTCTGTTGTTAGTGTGTAGGACCTTAAAAAAAAAAAAGGAGCCAGCTGTGGTTGCAAAGAAGCTATTTAGCTGCCTTCAGTCCCAGTCGGGGGGGAAACGGCAGGTGATGATGATGTCAGGAACTGGTGCTGAGATGGTTTTGATGGAGCCGTTTCTGCAGAATTTAGCAGCTACTGCAGATCTGGTCCAGGCAAGATGTTAAATCGCTCCATCTGGATGAGGTCATTGCTACATCCTGGTCAAGAGTCTACTGACAGTGCCACCAGGATGTGCCTTGTTCTGTAAATCTACAAATGCACCTTCTTGGTGCTTGTGGAAGTCCTCTATCCTAGCTTATTCAAAGGGGAATGGAATTTGTATAGTAGGGCAATCTATATCCCATGGGTAGCTTGCTCCGTGCTGATCTGTACGTAGTACAACACAAACTACTTTTCTATTGAGTTTCGACTATTACATGTAATAAAGGTGTCACATTTTCAGACCACTGTAGTAAAGCTACATATGCACTAGTCCTGCTTTCTGGGACACAGGGGATCCCTTATCTTTGATAAAGCCCCCCTTAATTGGTGAGATAGGCTCCAGTCATATTTTCGCTGCAATTACAGGGTGAAGAGAATACATACACTGGAGTCAGACATGCAGCAGGATTCCCCATCCATCTAGTTCTGAACAGCTGGGCCAGATTGCTGCTGCATGATCCTGACTTACTTGCTCCCACTCTGGCAATTTGGGCCACTGGCTATCTTCAGCTTTCTTGCCTCCTCTTCCCAGCACGTGGTCTTCTTCATTGCACGTCTGATTGATATGATGGTGCCCGACATCCCAGAAGTGGTGGAGATCAAAGTGAAGCGAGAGCAGTATCTAGCTAAAGAGGCTCTGGCTGAGAACAAGGTAATCGTTTATTTTTAAATATTATTTTGAATCGGTACTTGGATTTTCTCTTCCAAAGACCATCTAAAGTGCTTAATGCCATAAACCTTAACCTAAACTGAGTCACACTGTTCCTGTGCTGAATCCCCTTCTTTGTCTCCTGGGAGAGGTTTCCTTTTACAGGACTAGGTGAAGCAGCAAGGTTCACTTGCTGTCAGAAATATAGGATGGCAATTTCCCTCCCTCTCTCAGTAAGCAGCCTTGCAGCTTATGAGAGTAAATATAACCTTTATTTCCTGTCTGGCACATGAGTATACGTCCACTGGTCTTTGTCAGGGAATCTTAAGTCCCTGTACCCACACTGTGAACCATGATGGGGGAACAAAAGTGCTCAAACACACAAGAGTAGCTCCTCTACCCTACCTACATTCCTTCCCAAATAACCTACTTTTACCTTGATACTGTATTATAGAGTTGTATCTGGTGAACTTGTCCTTCTGCTTGCACAACAGAATTGTCCTACTCCATTCCTTGCGTGTTTGGGGGTTCCCCCAACCCTCCAAAGCAGATTTTTTGGCAGGGCAAGTAAGTTCTGTTGCACAAGCAGAAGTCCTTGCACTAATTGGACAAGTTCATTAGATACAAACCCACAGTAACAGTGTTTCCCAAACTTAGGTTTCCAGCTGTTTTTGAACTACAATTTCCATCATCCCTGGCCACTGGTCCTGCTAGCTAGGGATGGTGGGTGTTATAGTCCAACAACAGCTGGGGACCCAAGTTTGGAAGACTGTGTTAAAATAATAGCATAGTAATTTTCTTGTATTAGATAACTAGTCTAATAGTTGGGCAGATGTTATAGGCGAAGGGGATCGAGATATGGATACGCTCGTACCCTTTCCAATCTGCGCCCCATCCCGAGGGACGAGGGTAGGGTGAGCAAGGATTACTCACCTCCGTCACTGGTGCTGTGCAATGCCAGGTCTATAGGCAATAAAACCGCCACCCTGCGAGATTTCTTTATCTCGCAGGGGGTTGACCTGGCTTGTGTGACGGAGACCTGGGTGCGCGAAGGGGCAACAGTTACCTTACGAGAGATGGCGCCCGCGGGTTTCTCCGTCCTCCACCAGTCGCGGACTGTGGGCCGGGGGGGAGGGGTGGCATTATTAATCCGGGAAGATTGTCCTTTCAGGGCTCTACCACCGCCATCGATCCCCGGCATTGAATGTGTTGGCCTAGTGTGGGGCTCCGAGGAGAGCTTGGCTGTCTGGCTGGTGTACCGGCCACCTAGCGCACCAGCAGCCACCCTGTCAGGCCTATTGGAGGCGGTGGCCGGCTGGGCCTTGGAGTTCCCTAACCTATTGGTATTGGGGGACTTCAACATCCATGCTGATGCCACTCCCTCCTCACAGGCTCTGGACCTGGTGTCTTCCATGGCGACACTAGGGCTCTCCCAGTTTGTTTCGGGCCCCACACATCAAGCAGGCCACACGCTGGATTTGATCTTTGGCGTCAGGTATAGATGTGATCATGTCTCCTTCGATGAAGGTGCCATGGTCTGATCACTACGCTCTGAAAGCCAGGATTGACTTTCCACCCCCACCCTGCTTAGGTGGCGAGCCAATTTGGGCTCGCCCGCAGAGGCTGATGGACCCTGAGAGATTCCGCCAAGCCTTGCGGGACCTTGCTCCCCCTGGCGACTCATTGACTGAGCTTGTTGAGGGCTGGAATACCCAGCTCCTGGCAGCCATCGATGAGATCGCACCTAAGCGCCCTCTGCGACCCCGCAGAAACCGGGCTCCCTGGTTTACAGAGGAGCTCCGGAAAATGAAGCGGGACCTCAGACGGCTAGAGCGAGTATGGCGGGGTGCCCGTGACGGAGCCTCAAGAACATCTTATAGGGCTTTTATGAAAACCTACGAGATGGCGGTGAAGGCTGCTAAGAAGTCATACTTCTCGGCCTCCATTGCATCCGCTAGCTCTCGCCCAGCGCAATTATTTAGTATAATCAGGTCTTTAACGTCCCTTGAGGGACAGCCAAATTTAAATAACAATTTGACACACAGCTGTGAGGCATTTGCGAGCTTTTTTGCGGAGAAGGTCTTGTCGCTCCGCCATGACCTCCCTGCCAATTTGGATACAATAAAGGAACTGGAGGCCCCTCGACTGTCCTCGGGTCCAGTATTGGACCACTTCGACCGGATATCCCCAGCCAATGTGGACAGACTCCTCCGAGCTGGAAAGCCCACCACCTGTCCTCTCGACCCGTGCCCGTCTTGGCTGATTAGAGCGTGTCCAGACGAGGTGCGGGCCCTCCTGGGGGATATCATCAATTTGTCCCTTGGCACGGGGACATTCCCAGGGGAACTGAAGGAGGCAGTGGTGCGTCCGCTCTTAAAGAAAACATCATTAGATCCTTTAGATCTATCCAATTACCGCCCGGTTTCGAATCTTCCGTTCCTGGGTAAGGTGATTGAGAGAGCGGTTGCTGAACAGCTTGGTGGGTTTCTGGATGAAACATCGGCTCTGGATCCATTCCAGTCCGGCTTCCGCGCTGGTCATGGGACCGAGACGGCTCTGGTTGCCCTAACAGATGATCTTCGTAGACAGCTGGATCAAGGCGGGTCGGGGCTGCTGATTCTTCTAGATCTATCAGCAGCTTTCGACATGGTCGATCACGAACTTCTGGACCACCGCCTTGCCGACGTGGGGATCCAGGGCACAGTCCTTCAATGGCTGCGCTCGTTTCTCTCTGGTCGGGGACAGAGGGTGGCGCTTGGGGGGGAATTGTCATCGCGTCACTCCTTGGTGTGTGGAGTACCTCAGGGTGCGATACTCTCCCCGATGCTTTTCAACATCTTTATGCGCCCCCTCGCCCAGCTTGTTCGGAGTTTTGGGCTGGGTTGTCATCAGTATGCCGATGACACCCAACTCTATCTGTTGATGGATGGCCATCCTGACTCGGCCCCAGACACACTGACCAGATGTTTGGAAGCTGTGGCTGGATGGTTACGTGGGAGCCGGTTGAAGCTAAATCCTTCGAAGACAGAGGTCCTGTGGCTGGGACGGGGCGATATGGGATTGGGGGGGCAACTCCCATCTCTTGCGGGGGCGCAATTAGTGCCAGCACCGTCCGTTAAGAGTTTGGGTGTAATCTTCGACACCTCCCTTTCCATGGAAGCGCAGATTGCAGCTATAACAAAGGCGGCATTTTTCCATCTCCGCCAAGCTAAGCAGTTGGCTCCTTACCTCTCTCGCCCTGACCTAGCCACTGTGATCCACGCGACGGTCACCTCCAGACTGGATTATTGTAACTCGCTCTACGTGGGGCTGCCCTTGAGACTGACCCAGAAACTCCAGCGGGTGCAGAATGCTGCAGCGAGACTCCTTACGAGGTCTTTGCTGCGAGATCACATTCACCCAGTGCTATACCAGCTGCACTGGCTCCCGGTGGAGTACAGGATCAGGTTTAAGGTGCTGGTTTTAACCTTTAAAGCCCTATATGGCCTAGGACCCTCGTACCTACGGGACCGCCTCTCCTGGTATGCCCCACAGAGAAACTTACGGTCTTCAAATAAAAACATCTTGAAGGTCCCAGGCCACAGAGAAGTTAGGCTGGCCTCAACTAGAGCCAGGGCTTTTTCAGCTGTGGCTCCGATCTGGTGGAACACTCTGTCACAAGAGACCAGGGCCCTGCGGGACTTGACATCTTTCCGCAGGGCCTGCAAGACAGAGCTGTTCCACCAGGCCTTTGGCCAGGGCACAGCCTGACTCCCTCCCTCGGCAATCTTCGCGGAGCTCTGGCCCAATGGTTGCTAGTGCCTTGAATTAATTAATTTTTATAATGAATGATTTTAGAATGTTGTTTATGTTGTACTTTTGTACTGTTTTATTGTTGTTAGCCGCCCTGAGCCCGGCTTCGGCTGGGGAGGGCGGGATATAAATAAAATTTATTATTATTATTATTATTAGTGACACCGGTCTATCTGTTGTGGGGGGTGTACCTTATTTTTGGAAGCTGGTATCAAGAACTGGCAATTTTAGCTGCTGATTGTGTTAAGTTCCAGCCTGTATGTCAACACCAATCTTTCTGACACATACCTTTTAGGGGAAGGTCTTATATTTTTCCTAGTATGTGTCATTTGACAAAGCAAAGTAAGATTCTGGAGGTTGGCTCACCCTTTGATCACACATACGGCTCCTCTGCTATCATTCAAAGCATATTGTGCCAACAATCTATGGACAACTCCATAGAATTTTTCTAATAACAAGCCAAGTTTCAACTCTCTTGGTCTCAGGTGTGTTGACTTCAAGGTATTAGGAATTTTGGGCTTACTTTTTTGAAGCAACTTTACATGTTACGGTTGAGTGAGCTCTTTGCTTAAACTGGATGCTCCAATTACTTTACCGTATCTCAAGGGTGGCAATATTGAGGTTTGGGTAATAAGCAAATTGAAACGTAAGCTGTGTAGAACTGACACAGCTATGTATCTTTAGGTGGTATAACAGCTGTCAGTGGAGTGGCATCGCTTACCTGGCTTCCCATCACAGAAGTCACTGTAGGGCCAATCTGTCATTCCACCTACAATGTGTTGACCTCACCATCATTGTCTTGCCTGTTGGTTATCACCAGCAACCTCCATGTTGGGAAGCCAAGTAAGCAATGCTTCTCTACCCTGTTGACTGTTGATTTCTCTTGTGACAGGCCCTCACCGAAGTGATAGATGCAAGAAATCCAACCCCTCTGGCAGACAAAGCACCATAGTAGGCTCACGATGCTGAAATACATTCTGATTTTGATCCAGGCCAAGTTGCCAAGCTTCTGGAAGAGCAAGGGGTGGGGAGGTGAGCAGCCTAAAAGAATTTGACAAAAAGTGACACTTCTCTGCACAAGTGCTGTACTGCAGAAGGAGACTTGGAGCTTTTAAAGGCTTCAGGAATTTGATCGATCCAGCTGCTGCTTTAAGGACTTTGAGAAGTGTCAACTTGGAAAGGACAAGATATACATGGAGAATGGATAAATCTAACCAGCCCACTCATCAGCTCTGCAATCATTTGCCTAAATGAACAGCTTTGTCAGGCTTTCCATGTCCTCACTGCCCAAGAAGTGACTTCTACTGATATTTATAGAGTTATAGTCTAGCAGTGAGCACAGAGGAGTCCTACATTCCTGTTTACAAAGAGGGAGGGCTGCTTTTTAACTTGTGAAGAAGTACTGCTTAGCGACAAGGAATCTTCCAAAGAGGGAAGAAGCTGCATCACTTGAATGGCTTATAAGAGTGAGAGCTGCTCTGATGAGCTAAGGGGCAATTACTGGAGAGTAGCTGTGTACTTTGCTTAGCATGCAGTGGCCAGCTTAACAGAAGATTACTGCTTGAGAAGGCAACCATTTGAGAGCTTGTACTGAGCTTCACAAGCTGCCTGCTCCTCCCTTCCTCTCACACAAGCAATACAAGACTGTGAGTATCTTCTGCATATCAGTTTGAATCTGCTTTAGCTGGAAGCTGCAATGTGGCATATGCCAAATACTAGTGATTGCAATCATGATTAAACAGTACCCCTGCTGACAGCAAATGGGCAGAATCTGTCCAACATTCAGTACGAACAGCTAAAAAGTCCAAGTTCTTTTACAATTGTTTGGAATTAATTGTGAAAGGTTAAGAGTTAGCAGCTGTTCAGTATTTCATTAGGAAGGCAGGTAGAAATTTTGAATTAGTGACTTCTTTAAAAAAAACCACTAAAGTATACAGAAAATAAAGACAACCACTCAAAAGCTGTTTCAGGTTTTATTTTATTTTTTTAGAATTTATAAAATTCCAGTGTCATCCATACTCATGAGCCTTTATACATGTTTTGCATATAATCTCCAAATTCCAAAGTTAAGGCCAAGGGATCATTGCCATGGAAACATAATATGGAAGACATTAAGAGGACATGGAGCACACCTCCGCAGAGCATCTGCTGCAGACTACATGGGACAGAGGGGGTAGAGTACTCTCAACAGTTTGAACAAATGGCTGGGTTGGGGGCCCATGCTCAATGGCAGTTGAAGCCTAAAAACACATGTGCAAGTGATGTGACTGACATTCAGACACCAGGTATACTACTGGCAATACATTAAAACACTACTACCCTGTTTGTCTCCTGCTCAGATAGTAAGAGGGCTTGTCCTGCCCCAAGTGGAATTAGCATAGAGAAACAAATCTCTCCTCCCTTCAGCTAGGTTTACTGAAAGAAAGAGGCTTTCCTTCCTGTTGGGCTAGCGGTCAAGAAAGACAAGAGCCTTGCAGACCTTTTCCCAGTATGTATTAATGGGGGCATAAGCAATCCTGGGGTTCGGTTCTTAGCTAATGGCTCAGAAAAGCTCTTTGGAGGGGAAGGGAGGCAGTAGGCAGAGAGCAGAGTTGGCACCAGACCAGACCAGCCCTGGCACCAGCGCCTTCGGCAGAAAAGATATATACCATGTAATGGCTGGAAGAGCAGCTTTAATACAAGCAGCCTTGTATCGGTTTATGGCAGCAGCTAGAATGCAGAAACTACTGTTGTATGAGGGACATGACAAAAGGACAGAAACATTTGCTGCCAGACTACAGAAAGGCCTTTGCTGAATGTAGGTATTCTCTCCTCCCCTCCAAGAGAGGCTTGATTTAAGACTGAACTGCAATCCAGCTTCTTCAATTTAAGTGAGAGCCACTCCTTACCTGCCTCCCTCCCCAAGGCCTAACCTTTCGTCACAAGAGTCAGACCAAATTATGTGACGGTGGTTAAGACCATCTTAGTAGGAGGGGATGTTTGATGGCATGTAGCCAGGCTGAAGCCACACACAGATCCCTCTGCTCACAGAGGAACAACAGTCATGATAACAGGAAGCGAGAGGGGCTTGACTGAAGAAGCAGGCCACTGTCATTCCGGCTTGAGGTAGAAAGAAGGCAATAGTAAAAAGCAAAAAAGACACACTCTTAACCCTGGTATTTAAATGCCATCACTATCAAGCCTGGGGAGGGAGAAAGAGTAATGTACCCTCTAACACCACACTAATAGCTCACCACCTTCTGTGACATGCTACCATGGCACTTTTGGTTGAACCAAGTTTTGTTAGACCCAATAATACTGTCAGTTTTCTGGTTCCACTCAGCCATACTACTGCTGGGAAGGGAGAACAAAAAAGAGTGTACGCGTCCAAACACTGGTGATGAGCCGCGATTCAATACTCACACCAACAAGGGGAGAATTTTGGTACACTCAGCGATGCAGACTAACACAGCAAGGGTTATGCCCCTCTTAGTGCTTCCTGGGGCCGTATCTCCAGGCTGAACCCTCCTTCTCCACCTATCCATTCTGGCCAATTTCCTCTCCCATAGCAGTATTAGATGGGTACATGTTTTGTTTTTTGTTTGGCAGTTGAAAGGGAAAAGTTGATTGCACTCTACAAAGGTAAGGCCTTGGAGAAACAGGGCAGGAGGGGAAAAGAGCAAATATTTTGGCTTTGTAGAAAGTTGAGGAAATGCATTTCCTGAGGTTGAGAGACAGGAAGTAGATTCCTAGCTGCAGTGAGGAGATCTCCTAATGGAGCCTAGAGTGCTTTTTGCAAGGTGTACGTGGGAGGTTTGGTTACTACACCATGGCCAACATGAGACTGAGTGAAAGTTGAAAGGCAAAAAAAAAATTATGTATGTCTTTTAGGTTGGAATCTACGTGGAAAGTTTCTTCCAGGGCAAGGAGAAAGGAAAGAGTCAAACTGAAGCATAGTGAGGCCTAAGCGCAGGGACAACAGAGAACCTCAAAAGGGGTAGCACTCTAGTTTCATTAAGAGACCCCCATGGGCAATCTGCACTGGATCCAGCCACTAGATCAGAATTCAGAAAGGAAACCTTGTGGCAGGTGGCTGGACAAGATTGCTGCTTCCACGCTATTACCGCTTAGGACCCCAAGGTAGAGTTTTGGGGGCCACCTGAGCTCCAAAACTTGGGAAATCTTCAGAACTGGTCATGTCAGGGGCCTGTAAGGAAACAAAAGCCAAAACCATAACTAGTACAAGTGCTCTGCTGCATTAAACATCACTGACTGTGTAAGAAGAGGAACTTAACTTCTCTACAGATCACTACCCGCCCCGAAAATGCACCAAGAATGATAAGCTTTGAAGGTAGTGTCTCATCCACTGCTACTACAGCTAGCTTGAAGGAAGAGTTTTCCAATACTAAAGCCGCCTCTTCCAAGATGAGCCTTTTAAAAAAACCAGCTGCACACACTCAAGAATGAGGGGCAGAGCAATACAAACGTCCCTTCAAATGGGCTGGGTGGAGGGTTTAGACTGGAAAGAGAGAACTCTCCAGGCTAAAGATGGCTTGGTCTCACTGCCGTCATGTGACAGCATCAGGCCCAACTGCCCTGCTCCCCTCTTTCCGTGGCAGCTACCCTGCCTGCAGGGAATGAGGATAGAGTTCTACAGTAGTATGATGCAGGAGCAGAATGGTGGAGGTTGCAATAATCCACACCAGTGTTCATAACCCATTGGCAATTTACAGTTTTTTTATGAGTGGCGCTGGGTGGAGTAATTGGCTAGGTAAGATGTATCTAGCCTAGTGTCTCAGGTTGTAGTGCAAAAATTCCTGGCAGCTAGGGGGAAACAGACACTGTTGGAGGGCAGTTATTGGGAAGAGAGGGAAAAGGACAATAAAAAGAAAGGATGATAGAAGGGAGGGGCATACGTATTACGTTTTTCAGGGGTCAGGTGTGTATCGACTTCCATAGTCCATTTTGCACCTGTGTGCTGGCCCCCTAACTGGATACGAACATTATGACAACAAAAGAGGTGGCGGAGTCTCTTGCACCACTCCATTTTCCCTTTTTCTTTTTCCTCCTTTTTTCACTCTACACACTAATAAGAGGACTGACTCTTAACTTCATAATGAGAGGATTCATCTCTCCGGCCAAAGTCCTGGCCATCCTTTCGGTACAAAGAGTAACCATCGAGGAAGCAGTACCTACCTTCTCGGTGTTTCCTGGTGTCCAGGGGGCATCTCTCACCACAAATCCCTTTGATGCAGCCTTAGCTTCCCCATGAGCAGGTGGTTTCATGTAGACTTGCATTGCCTCATTGTCCACCACATCTGCCAGCTGCAACACCATACAAACAAGTGTGGTCCAAGTTAGAGATGTTTATCGCAGCACAAATTCATGTGTATCCCCCCCCCCCCTGCAAAAGGAGCAGTATTTTCTTGATATCACCCATATGTGGTGTATACATAAGATGCAAGCTGAGAAGTCTGGAAAGGTCCACATACTGGTTTCTCTCAAGTACCAAAAACTACCTGGATTTAAGAACTCTGACACTCACATATTCCTCCTCCAGGTTCAGGATATGATCAATGGCTTCCTCCACATTCTCAGGGAGTCCAGTCACAGTCACACAATTTGGATCAGCAGCTCCACTCTGGGGGAAGCGGATGTCCACCTGAAATGACAAAGATTTCAGATCAGCTAACAAATTAAGAGAAAATAGGTCTTTGCTTGTCTCATTTCCCTGCATGCCATACACCAAGAGACTAGAGAAAGCAGAGTGATGAAGACAATACCAGAATATTGAGGGGCCTGGCTGAATTTGTTTAGGTCCCCATATAATAGCGATGGGAGAATCTGTAGTCTTCAATACATTGTTGAACTACAGCTCCCATCACCCCCAGCCTGCATGGGACAATCAGGGACGATGGGAATTGTTCCCTATCCCTGGCATATATTCCTTATTCCCTATCCCTGGCATATAAATCAAGTTGTAGTCATATTTCCACAGTTGTACAGATTTTGTTTTCTGTGCAGTGACTGAGCGGAAGCCCTGTCTTGTGCAATTCAGTGGAATCATCATTTTTTCCTGACATGCTCTTAAAGGTGTTTGAAGACCATCTACAGTTACTCCTAAAAGCAAGGGTGCATGTCTGTGCAGCCACTAAGTTATTTTTTCACTACAGCCATACATTGGAAGTCAAACGGAATCTGTTCCAGAAGTCCGTTCGACTTCCAAAACGTTCAGAAACCAAAGCGTGGCTTGTGATTGGCTGCAGGGAACTCCTGCAGCCAATCAGAAGCCACGGAAGTTCCGTCGGACGTTCAGCTTCCAAAAACAGTTCAGAAACCAGAACACTCTCTTCCAGATTTGCAGTGTTCAGGAGCCAAAACGTCCGAGTACCAAGGCGTTCAACAACCAAGGTATGACTGTACTCATACTCTCACTGCGCAATCAACCAAGTGCCAGGGTTCTTGAATGCATTCATTACACTCAGCAAAAATAAACATCTCTGTTGTCACAGATGACACCATCTGTCTATCAGATACCATGTGCCCTTTACATACCTTGAACTCATCCATGATCTTGCGGATGGCTTTCCCCCGCGCTCCGATAATGCGGGCGTGAACACGATGGTCCAGAGTGATGTCCTCAGATACCATCTGCTCCAATTCTCCAACAATCTTCATGATGGCATCTCGGGCAGATTCAGTATTCTTCTCATAACCAGTGATGGTGATCTGATCCTGGGACTGAGGCGGAAGTTTGAAGAGTTAGTCCCAGGCCCCTAAAGACAGCAGCAGATAGGACAGGCCTCTGTGGCAAGCAAGGGCCAATAGCCCGACAAGGCCGCCAAAGAGGCCATGATGGAAATTGAGCAGACGGTGCTCATTGGAGCTCTGCTCAAAGAAAAGCTCCCTCCATTCTGTGGATAAACAGCCCCCCCCACACACCAGCCTCCCTCCCAGAGTTCCTCACCTGAGATTCATCATCCTTATCTGGAAATTGTATGGTGACATCATGCTCTGTGCGGATTTGAGTGATCACAGCCCCTTTCCTGCCAATGATTTTAGGGTGGTATCTGGGCTCCACAGCAACAGTCAGCTTAAAATTTCGCAAAGCCTAGAATGATCAAGAAGGATGTTTTTAAGGCTCTGCACAGCTGCTTCTTCTAATTACATGAATTATTTGTATCCAACTTTGGTAAATGTCAGATTTGGCTACATAACAGGGGAGTCCTCATATGATAGTAAAAAATATGTTTAACTCCCGTCACCTAGAGCTGATAATGCCTTAATATCATGCCCTTGCTCACATGGTTTTACTTTTTAGAAAACATATTGGACCTGAATCACAAAAAACTTGCACCCTGCGTTGTATTACACTGCGTCTTCATAAGAAGTATCTTACAAGCCCACAGAGCATCCCTGCCTCCTGTTGTCTCTCCCATATTGGGAGAATATTTTTGCCTTAGCCTTCCACTCTCTTCTAGGTGGCAGTGATGTGATGTAAACCTCTTAGATTTAAATCTTAAAAGAAGGTAAAGGTAAAAGTACCCCTGACAGTTAGGTCCAGTCGCGAACGACTCTGGAGTTGCGCGCTCATCTCGCTCTATAGGCTGAGTTTGTCCGCAGAGAGTTTCTGCGTCATGTGGCCAGCATGACTAAGCCGCTTCTGGCGAACCAGAGCAGCACATGGAAATGCCGTTTATCTTCCCGCCGGGGCGGTACCTATTTATCTACTTGCACTTGACGTGCTTTCGAACTGCTAGGTTGGCAGAAGCTGGGACTGAGCAACGGGAGCTCACCCCGTCGCAGGGATTCGAACCACCGACCTTCTGATCGGCAAGCCCTAGGCTCTGTGGTTTAGACCACAGCATCACCCACGTCCCATAGATTTAAATCTTATTACTCCTAATTCTCACGCTCCAAATTATTAAAGCCCTTGCCTCACTTTTCCTCCTTTGTTTTGCTTCATACCATCTCTTCATGCCCACACCAAGCTTTTCCTTCCAGACTCAAAATTTCATGATTCAGAAATGTTGTTTCAGTACATGGTCTGGGACTTCAGTCTAAGCTGCAACTGCGAGTTCTGCCAATTGAGGCAGTGCTAAGACAACAACAGTGACCGTATGGCAGGAATACTTACTAACCCAGAACTACAGAGAGCCACACCCCTCACCTTCCAACATTAGGCATTAAAGCATTGTCTGAATTAACTCATCCTGCTTAAGGCTGCTGACAAGATCCCCCAGTCTCTTCCCACAGCACCACTCTTAATTAAAAGATCTATATTTTATTCCTGATTTATTTATTTCTTAATAAGACAAGGCAGCTGGGAGAGACTGACAAATCACAATGGTTCTGGCACAACACATACCCGATCCTCTTGCTCAGCTTGCAGCTCCTTCACCCTCTCAAGAAGTCTGGCCTTGGCACGGTCCAGGTTAGTAGCAAGCCCACTGATAGAGATGATGTCAGACTGAAGCTCTGGGGCAGGGACTTGGATGTTCACCTACAAAAAATTCCAGGCAGCTATCATTATGTCAGGACTGGGCAGTTGTTGTACAGGAACATCTTTGCAGCCACCCATAACCTTCACAATCAATATTTCTTCAAAGAACTGGAATTCTCAAGTATTTAAAATTGCAAAAAAACACCCCAAAAACACCACCCTTAATGTATCATTGCTGGGTTTATACAGGCTACTTTAGTTCCTTGTAGCACAAAAAAAACCACTACAACGAACAATAGGAAATATGTTATAGTACATCTCAGGTGCATGTGCCAGCACATGGATGAAAAATTGTGCTTGACGTCTTCAGTGGTCTTAAGACTGTTTCAACATTAGGATAATCAGTAAGAGTGGTATTCATATTTTGGCCTATCTGTTCTCCAAAGCCCAAAAACGGAAGAAGTCAACAGAGAGCCTGCTCACCTCAAACTCGTCCATCATTTTCCTGATTCCAACGCCCTTCTGACCAATGATGAAACGATGAAGGTCGAAAGGAACTTCTACTTCAATGGTAACTGGAACCAGTGCCTGAAGAGGAAAGGCTGAAATTACACCAGCTGCAGAACTTATAAGCAAAAGAATCACTTTGCCAACAAGTACTTGTCCAGAACCCACCAAGCAAACTCTCACCCCAGCAACACGGGAAGCTGTCAAACCAAAGCCGTAGAGTAAAATAATATTCAAGATACTGAGTGTGGGTGCTGTATAACATGTCCCACAGTTAATTACCTCAAGAGGTCAATTATTTACCTTTTCCACTCAGGCCAACATCCTGTTTCTTCAGTGGAAATTATTTAATAGTCACTTAAGCGGTCCCTGGAGCCATGTACAATTAAAAGATCCTTATGAGCAAAATATGGCTGGGCCGTTTTACAGCACCTAGTAAGCAAAGCTGTCTTTTTTCAGGGCACAGCAGCCAACAAATAATCTTACCTGCAGGGCTTCTTTTGCTGCCTCACACTTCTCTCGACGACCAGAGATTATGATAGTATCACATTTCTTTGGGGAGCCAGGATCTGTTTCTTTGTTCTCCTTCCCTTCTCCACCCTCTTTGCCATTCTCCTGGGCTGGCGACTCTGCAGTGGGAGCTATGATCACAGAGGTGAGAAGAGTGACGACATTTTCAACTGGTTAGCCTGAAGTTGCTGGCTTGTTATCTCCAGGGCACCCAGAGGTATGGATTGTTCTCACTGTAAAATTCCTGGCCTAGGCAGATCATAGAAAAGCCATGTCTGAAGTGCCACCTATCATTATCCTCTGTTAAAAATGCAAGAGCCAACTTCCACACCAAGTTTATTTGGTTTCCCAGTAGTGATGCCTGGCTGGCTGACATCTTCGATGTGGCCTACTGCTCATAAATGAACTACAAAGAATTACCCACCTAAATAGTCAGTTCTCAATGTGTGGTGGGATAGCCTTATTTGGAGAGGCACGGAATCATTAAGAGTTTGCCATGTTTTCCTATCTACCTAGGTTTTTGGTAGACAATTAACCAACTCTGAAAGTGTGTTGCCCTTAAGACAAGTCTGTAGTAAATGGAGGCCACATTTAGCCAACTCCCAAGGCAACACATCTGGGTTTAAGGAAATTGCATTGCTTTTTAAAAAAAAAAAAACCCTATGAAAAATAGCCATTTCCCTTCTCAAGCACAGTTACAGATTTTCGCAGCTCTGAAAGCATCTCAGAAGATATGAGGCACTTTTGTGTTGCTCCCCACCACCACCCCGCCGGTGCCTGCTTTTACTGGCAGGCTTGTAAGATCTCGTACCCACGTTCTCCTCCCGGTCTGGGAATTTGATCTGAACACCATGGTCACGGGTGATCTGCTGGATCCTGGAACCTTTGGGGCCCATAATAGAGCGGTGATACTTCTGAAGAATGGTGCATTCTATTGTCACCTGGGCTTCCTAGGGGGAGAAGAAAAGAATTTATTCCTATTTTATCCCAATTTCCAGATAATGGTTGCCTCCCAAAGTAACTAACATCAATTTTAAACTCTACTGGGTGAGATGATCCTTCACTTCCTGTGTGTGCTGTTTTAGGGTATGACCTGGCCCCACCAGAGCCAATCTCAGGGGGCCCAGCCCTATGGGCAAAAGGACACTCTCCTGCTGATGAGGCTGATGGGGTGAATCCTGCCCAATATTTTCAGATGATACGTGTGGTATACCATTTTTATTACTGTGATTTTTATCAACTTCTCACAGTGTCCTTCTGGGGTGTGACTTCCAATACTGCCAAATGTTCGTTTTAGAATGTCTCTGTTTTCCTTGACAATCTCATCTCTGTCCTTAGGACAGCAAAGTTCTATGGGGTTTTTGGTTATGTATTCAATCTGCCAGGATCAGACTGCGTGCTGTACTGCATTTATGAATTGTTTGTTTGTTGACTATAATGTGTGCAATAATGGAAGAAAAGTATAACTGCTAGGAAATACATGCCAGGGTTATATGAAATTAAATCACAAAGAACAGGTTCCTGCACAAAGAACAGGTCAGACTGTTCCAGCAAACCCTTGCTTTACTTTGGCTGCAATTAGAAGGCTATAATTAGTAATTAAGAATTCTTACCTAAAGCTTAGAATCTAAAGAGGCTTGTTTCTCAGGTGTTATGAGAATTTATGATACACCCAGTGGTTTTTTTAATAAAGGCTAGACCAAACCAGAAACAAAAACACCTAGACTAGGAAAAAAAGTGACCATGGGGAAGAGAGGCTCTTCTAACGTGGACACTCACCAAGTCATCAATGATCTCCAAGATGCGTTTCTTTGCTGCTTCCACACAGTCCTTTGCTCCTTTAAGGGTGACCTTGTCACTCTGTGTGCCAGGGCGTGGAAAGCTGACCATCACACCCCCATACTCCTCTGCAATGGTTCGTAGCACCTGCCCTTTCCGGATGACAAAGTGCCGGTGATGCTTAGGGTCCACCGTCATGGAATCTTCAATCACATTGTCCTGAAACACACAAGGCATCATCACTGCCTGAAAATTCTCCACGGTAATGATCTCCCTTAAGTCCATATGTCAACATCAGAAGGTTATCCCTTTTGACAAATGAAAAGATCCTTTTCCTCACCAGGTTCTTGATGAGCACTTCCAGCTCCTTCTGGGCCTCTTTGACAGCTTCCTCTGTTCCCATGATAGTAATCAGCTCCTGATCTTTGTCCTCCGAGGTGGGGAAGATAATCCGGGCACCAGTATTATCACGCACCTTGCGAATGTTACCGCCTCCTTTGCCAATCAGGAACTTGTGGTACTCTGGTTTGGCACGCAAGTCCACAGTATAACTCTTTGTTTGCTAAACAGCAGGAATAAATAAAAATAAACGCATCAGGATTTGGAGGTATTTCTTTACGTTCTTGTCGCCGTTTTTACTGGAGAAAACTAATATGACAGCCCTACTGAAAAATCTGTGGAGGTTAACAGCTTTGAGATCCAGATGCTTGGAATAAATCAGGTTAAAAGCCCTTTTCAAGGCATGAAAGGTAGGAGTTAAGCAATGTTCATACACAGAAGCAGAACTCTGTGGGCAGGTTGCACTATTACAAACGTTCCATCTGTCACAAGCATATTAGCTTGCACAAATGGTCTCTCTCTGCACTGCTCTGGGGTTTTTCATGACACCCCCAGAGCCAAATTCAGTTGGGGAGGGACATGGGGGGGAAGCACCATTGCACAGGGTTTCTGCTGACGTGGTTTGTTAGGTGAATCCTGCCCTGTATACTTAAACAAACAAACACTGCAGTCCAGCAAAAGTCAAATTATCTGTACAAATCATGCTAAATTGAATAAGTTTGCATATAGCTACTTTGCTTGTCACAGGAAATATTCCAATGGCTCTATAAGCAATCCCTCTATGCATGTGCGGCGGGTGCTCATGTTAGAGAGGATCATGTCCTAAATATATGTACAGTCATACCTTGGGTTGAATACGCTTCAGGTTGAGCATTTTCAGGTTACGCTCCGTGGCGACCCGGAAGTAATGGAACGCGTTACTTCTGGGTTTCGCCGCTCACACATGCGCAGATGCTCAAAATGACATCACACACATGCACGGAAGCGGCGAATTGCGACCCGAGCAGACGCGGGTTGCATTCGCTTCTGGATGCGAATGGGGCTCCAGAACGGATCCCGTTCGCATCCAGAGGTACCACTGTACAGTGAATACTTTTTCTAAACGTTAGAATGATAAAACATGGGAAGCTGTTTGATGTAGTGTTAGACCATTAGTCTACCTAGCTCCGTATCATTTACTGTGTGTGGCAGTGGCTCTCCAAGGTTTCAGAAACGAGCCCTTTCTTGCCCTATCTGGAGATGCCAGGAACTGATGCTGGAACCCTTTGCATGCAAAGAAAGTACTCTGCCTCATCGTTTCAGCACTCTTCCACCACACTCTCAAAGGGTGGTACAGAGGAGAGTAGAACCAGAGAAGACTTCTGTTCAAATCTCTGCTTAATCCCGGACACTCACTGTGACCTTGGACAAGACACTTTCTCTCAACTCTTAACCACCCCTGAGAGTTGCTACGAGGGCTACCTTCAACTGCACCAAAGAACGAACTGAGAGCTGCACAAATGAAATGCTTTGCCTGCTAGAAACCAGGAAAGTATGCCAAAGAAAGTGCTTTGAGATTCTGAATTTGCCTCTAGTGGAGAGACCAGCCTCAGGGCTGCAGACAAATGGAGTGAGACGGTATAGCTAGACAGAGGAGCCCAACAGCAGCTCGCTGTTAAGTAACCTGACAGGGCCAAACGCCCTGCCATTAAATGCAGCGTAGGCAGATTCCACCTGTTCTGCAGATTTAGGACATGCTGTTTTCAAAGCAGCACCTAAGAACTTGCACGTAAAGGGTGTTTATTTAGTTAGTAGACAGAGAGAGTCAGTTCTGAGTAGCTCAGGATGAAGCCTGGGCCTGTAAAGTTCCAGGAAGTTGCTCTGAAGGCTCCAAGAGAAGCCAAAATTCCAGACAAGCTGCATATTCTTTCGTACCCAGCTGAGTCTCCAACAGAAGGAAGGAGCAGCTCAAGTTGCCCCCCCCTTTCAAGTATAAATATAGTCAGCTGCAATTATTAAAGCAATGATCCCCTGCTCCAAACACCAGACAAAGGGAGCGAAGGAGAACTTTTTCATAGCACAGTGACGTACAATAAATTCTCAATCACCTTTAGCAACCCTGTTGGATTAGCTATTAGCAGGAAGGGGATAAATTTAGGGAGCAGCCATATTTCAGTGGCAGAGTAAATCTATTGCATGTCCGATCTGGGCGTTCATAGTTAAATTGCCTTTAGGTAGCAGGTCCAGGAAAGACCTATGCCTGAGACCCTGGAGCACTAATTCTCTTTAGAAGAGACCAGGAGTTCTCAAGCTTTCTATCCCCAGGGATCACTTGAGAGAGCTGAAAATTTCTAAGGCCCATCACATCAGTCACAATATGACGGTATGGGGCACAGCCAGCCACAAAATGGAAGCAGAGTTTGGCATAATAGGCTAGCAACTGCCAACTTTATTTCCTATTAGTAGTTAATCCCCCCCGGGAATGTGTAAATTTTTGCCACAGTGATTTCCTTGTGACCACAAATTCAAAGCTTATCCATAGGAACTGTGCCGGCAGCACCTATTTTTCCACATCCACGGTTCCTACCTTCTCTTCTGCCAGTTGTAGGAGCTGTTTCTTGGCCTTTTCAACGTCCTGGGCAGGGCCCCTGATGGTGACTGTATCGCTGCCGGAGCCTTCTGTGGGGAAGTGGATGTGAACCCCACCGCATTCCTCCATGATGGAGCGGATGAAACGACCTTTGGCACCAATGAGCGAGTTGTGCAGCTTGGAAGGGATGGAGACCTCCACCTCTGCAATGTTAGCCTGGGGCAACAGCAAGGGGGCGGGGAGAGGCACGGACAGAAAAGAAGAGGTATTTAGGCTTTCCCCCCTCTTCCCTCATGCAGAGAAATTGTAGGAAGGCACAAAGAACTCCCTCTCCCCAACTATGTGCTCAGGAAGTTCTCCTACCCCCATTATTTCTTATTCAAAACTAAGACTGACAGAGGGAATCTGGGACACATGCCAGGAACCAGCTGGATGTGTCAGCAAACGACAGTCACTGACTGCATCAGGCAGCACTACCCCCACAGAAGCACGCCTATGTGCTTCAACACGGAGTTCTAGGGGAGTGTCCTCCTCACAGTAAAAGGAATAGCTGTTATTCAGAGATACCTTCATATTAAACCTCAGATCAGATGGATGTAAGTTGAAAAATCCTGCCCTTTCCTCTCTTTTTTACAGAGGTCCCCAATTCATTGCATATTAAATGCGCACAGAACAACCTGTTTGGGTTTCTCTTTTCTCAGTTGCTGGTGAAAGCGGCAGAAGGGAAGTGGAGAGAAGAACTGAAGCGTCAATAGCACATCGCTTAAAACGTACCTCTGCTGCTTTCAAACAAATACCTAAAGAGCTAGCCACAAAATCTGGCCGGCTGCTCAATTTCTGCATGCCAGCGATGAGAGGGCAGATATGACATGGCAATTCTTTTCGCCCAAGAGGTTTCTATTTAAAGTTAAAAGATTTCTGATCCAGTAGCAGGGGGAAAGCAGGCAAGAGGACATCCTGAAAATGCAGGGATGTGAAAGCTACAGTCCTCCAAATGTCATTAGACTACAACTTTAATCATCCCTTATCACCTTTGGTTATGCTGGTTGGGATCAATGGGACTTGTAGTCAGCAGCATCAGAGAGCTATAGGTCCCCCATCCTTGTGCCAAAACAACGTGTTTCAGATATACTTTGAGATTTTCAGAACGGAAGAGTTTCTGGCTCTATGTTCATTCTACATGTTTACTGTAGAATATGTACTATATAAACATATTTACTTTATGGTCAGTCAACAAGGGTCTCCATAGTATATAGTATTCAGTGGGTTGTTGCTTTTAGTTGTAGCACACACTGTACTAGATGGGGAGGGGAATCCCTTGAGAAAAAGCTTCCACAGAATTTAAACTGCTATGATTCAAGGACTTAAGAAGTGCAACTCTAAATCAGTAACTGACAGAAACCTCCCACAAAGCCACCACCACAAAATCTCTCTCGCAAATAAACAGTGTGATTATTTCTCAGAACTGCTACCTCTTCAAACTTGACTTCTGGAATTTACTCCAGAATCCCTTTCCACTTGAGGGTTACTGTAATACAAGCCCAAACATCTTCCCAGCTTTGTGACCTTTTGATTATGTGGCTTTTATCAGGAACAACTGAGGGGCAGCCAAGATCTTTTGATTTCTGGATGGCAGTTCACCTGGAATATTTGGTGAGTGATGTCTGATAAAGCCAAAGGGAAAACTAACACACATGCCCCCAAGAAAACCAAGACGTTGCCCAAGAAAGTTGTGGTTTCTCTAAGGAAACTGAATCAATCTGCATGCAACTTTTTTTTTACTGAAATTGGTAATAGCTGTTATGCTGAAAGGGCTGCTTGTCTTACCAACTCTTTTTGGATGGAGAGAATCCGATTGCGAGCAGCTTCACAGTTGGCTCTTTTCCCTGTAATGATAATTGTCTCCGAATTGCTGTTCTCTGCTGGGAGATCAATCTTGGTGCTGCATTCTTCACGGATCTACAGCAAAGACCAAAAAAAAAAGTTAAAGGAACAGACATGGCTACCTTCTGGCCCAAATATCTAACAGGAGGTATTAGAAATACTGAGAAGTAACAAACTACAAGGGTAACAAGGAAGAATCAAAGAAGTCTCACCTTTTTGATATTTGCACCTCCTTTCCCAATGATGTTCTTGTGGAATTGTTTGAAGATGGGAACTGAAATGGAGTAGCTGTTTTCAACCTTACAAGAAAGGAAGCATGGATGAATGGAATAAAGAATAGACACAAAGTTGTATGAGCAAATGTGACTTTGCCTATGTTTTACTCATTTCTCTGGTGAAGTCTTCCTTTGCCCACGTGGTTTGAAATCAAGCCACAAAGGAAAAGTGGCAGAGGTTTGAAAGCATTGCCAATCCTCTGACTCACAGTGCCAGCAAACCCCACTTCTGGCAGGGAGCTGTGTCTTTTCCTGACTCACACTCCATGTCCTAAATTACACCAGCTGATGCACAGGTAAGTGTGGCTTGCAGGAAACAGCTTCATGAGCCAAATGAATAACCCTGCTGGATCTCATTGAGGCGTATATACTGCTGGTTCCCCATGCCTGATTTAGTGGAATGCTTAGCACTAACAAAGCCCCTGTATTTGCAAACCAAACCGAAAGCAGAGGCAGAGATGATCACCTACCAGATCTGCCACCATCTTCTGCATGTACTTTGTGCATTTTTCCACCTCATTCTTGGGTCCTCTAAGTTGGACAATGTCACTCTTGTGTGAAGGATCTGGGAAGTTGATAATAACCTGCAAGAAATAGTTAATCCAAGATAATGTTAAACAGGTTACTGAGTCCCAGGAGGTTATTTCCATACTGTGGAATTCAAAACTCACAGAGTTTTCCTCTGTGCTCCAAGACATGGCCCTATACTAGTTATTGCTATATGACATCATATTGCTATAGGTGAATTAGCACAATGTAATATGAGTGAGAAGTAATTAAAAGAGAAGGAACAGTAAAACAAAAACACACTCTGCTGCAATAGTTGGCTAACATCCACAGCCACCCTTTTTTGTATGTGTCTAAAACAGCACCTCCAAACATTAAGAGGCACAGAAAGAAAGAAAGAAAGAAAGAAAGAAAGAAAGAAAGAAAGAAAGAAAGAACCTGGATAGGAGGCTGCTTTACTTTGGACCACTTCAGGCGAGACCCAGTATGCTTTGAACCAAACACAAAGCCTCACTTTGATTTTCTAAATTATATTATTGATTTCATTTCTATACCGCTTTATATTTTAAAGAAAAAAATCTCAAAGCGGTTTACAGCACATCAAAACATCAATTAAAACAATCCAGAATAAGCCATTACTGAAGAAAGTCAAATGTAAAGTTTTGGGTGTCTCCTTCCCGCTATGTAAGTCGAAAGAGACAGTGTTGTCTTGACTTCAATGAAAGCCTGTTTTACATTTATGAGGAGAGGGATGTGTCAGAAAAGCATGAAAGAAGGAGCCTCCTACAAACAGTTGAAACTATTTTAAGGGAGAGAAAAAAACACAGACAGCATGTACCAAATAGGCAACGATTCTGCCAACCTGATGCCTTTTTAAATTTTAAATAAAGAAATATTGGGGCCAAGTGAATGGTCTAGGACATTGGAGTTGCTGCAGAGTGTGAATAGGAAGCCACTAGGGGCCCCATTTAAGAGCACTATGCAACCCCCAACTGCATGGGGGTTCCATTCCTGGTCACCGCATGCATCAGCAGGACATGCGCAAGACCGCCTCGCCCCACACCCTTTAGGCACTGAAAATGGTGCGAGTGTCAGCGGTCACATGCATGCTGATCACGTCCAAGCGGGAAGATGCCTGTAATCAAGTCAATATAAAAATACATTTTAATCTGTCTCTCTGACGTGTGTGTGTTTCAAAGACTTTTGTTACCTCTGGAAATTTATCCCGGGTATCCCGAATCCGTTCACCCTTCTGCCCAATGATAGTTCTATGGAATTTCTGGTCAATGATCAGGTCCTTTGTGCGTTCATTTTCCTGGGGAGGAAAAATGGGGCGGGAGTCTCCATGATTAAAAGTCTCCATGTTTGAAACACATGTTGTATTTCATTCACACTTGCACAACAGGCAGATCTACCAACCAGTTAAGCTGCAATGTTTGACAACCCACAAACGTCACCACAATGACGCACCACCCAGGTAGAGAGATAAAACAGAATCGCTTCCCTGGTGTGTGGGAAAGTTTGGCAGGAAGCCTCGCTAGTAGTTAACACTTCTCTCCTGGACACAGTCCAGTTCTCCATGGCTCACCATACGCGATGCAAGTTCCAGCAGCTCTCTCTTGGCCTCTTGAACTCCCTGAGGGTCTCCTTCAATTCTGATGAGGTTGCTCTTCTCATTGTCTGGAGGGATTCGCACAGACACTTTGTACTGATCCTTAATCCTGTTGACTGCAAATCAAAAAGATTCGGCTAAGAACACTCGTCCACTGCATATGCTCTGCAATCAAGGCTTCAGAGTTTCAGAACAAGAGGCTTTCTCCTTTAAGGATTACTTGCGCTGTAGGAGACTGACCTATTCACAGAGGACAAACTAGTAGAGGGGGAGCAGGATTTCAATGCTTAGTCAACACGATGTTTTAAGAAAGACACACATATCTTGCCATTGAAAACTGTGTTCAATAGAATAATTAGGAATTGAGTGGGATGAGGCATGCAGAGGTTATTTTCCCAAGATTCCCCCCTCTCCACATTTTCTGTTATCTATTCTAACCAGAAACAAATTAAGAAAGTTTCTCAAGAAGGACCTCCCCATTTTTGCAGAGAGCACATTATTAGTTCTTCAGAACACCTCAGTCCTAGAGACCCAGAAGTACAGCTAGAGACCCAGAGAGATGATATTGTAGGTTATCTCTAACAGGGACAACAGCAATGCACATTACACATACAGGGAGACACTGAACAAGCATTTAACTCACTGTTGGCTCCACTCTTTCCAATGAGATGTCTGTGGAATTTATGGTCAATATTGATTTCAGTATAATCCATCCGGTTAATCTGCAAAGAGCACGCCACAGTTAGCCAGAATCAGGAGCAAACACATACTCCTCTAGCCGAGGAACAAAGAACAGAAACAGGACAGCAACATCAGCCATGACACAATAGATAACTAGCCACTATTAGATCCAGATGTTCAGTTGAGGAAAGTAGCTCAAGCCTGAGCAAAGAGCACACAGCTTGGGGACACTCAGCAGTTTCTCCATCACTTGACCCAGATTATGTTTCTAACACAGCTCTTTGTTCCCTTTATGGCCATTCCATTGAAAAAAATCAACAGCCTCCTTTTGTCTCCAGAACTGCAGTCCTAAGCACACATACCAGATGTCAACTCCACTGAACTCGGTGCACTTGCTTTGCTATGGAATATGAATTGCATATTTAATCTAAGTAGGAGGACACAATATGAGGCTTGATAATTTTGAGTGATGACTTGCATCTGCACCTTCCATTTTGATAAGATGGCCACACAAAAACTAGGGCTTCTTAACTCACCAGATCCTTGACCATGTTCTCGATTTGTTCTTGAGCCATGTTGACATCTTCAGTGGGTCCCTCCAGAGTGATTCTATCTTCTCCTTCAGTGAATTCTATGTGAACCTTCCAGTAAGGGAGAAAATTCAGCATCAGCATGAAACTACTGAAGAGGGATCCATGTAATGGTAGGGGAATGAATGTGGCAATGTGGCTTTTGCCTGCAAGCAGAGATGCTGCAGGAAACCCCTTGAACTTGTGTTTTCTAAAGATGGGAAGGAGGGGTAGGATCTAGGGAACCAGTTCATGGTTAAAAACATGTGCTGAAGCCTTATTCTAGCCAACTGAAGCTTTGGGAGAGAGACAGTTGCCTAGTAGAACAAAGCTTTCTTTGAGGTGGCACTCCACTGGTGGAATTCCCTCCCCAGTCTCATTCAACAAGCATCTACTTGACTAAACCTTAGGCATGAGCTACCCTCTTTTTACAGATGGTATCACACACTAACAGCTGGTCAGAGCCATTATAGCCAGAAAGACCTAGTAGGTGCCAATCTTTTATTGTGGTATAATGAAATGTGGGATATAGTCTTTTTAGAAAAGCTTACATACAAATTAGGAGTTGGAAGAGGACAAAGCAAAAGAAGTTTTGTGATATGGGATGTGTTGTTTTATTTCGTATGTCCATGATGATTCACACAGCTTAAATCTGCACATATTAAAATAATATGGTTGATTCAGTAAAATATACTTGACTAAACCGTGCTCCACTTTTTCCACTATGTATATCAATATTTGATTTCAATGTATCTTGCTCTACTCGTCTTTTTAGAAACTGTATGGATGGCCTTCATCAGTACACTTCAGTTTCTCTGTATTTTATAACCTTTTGGGTTTTTTATATTCTTATTATGTATAATTTTCAAAGAAGCTCTTTAGTGAATGATCAGAACAAGGTGCTTCAACACTGCATTTTTCCATCAAATATTTACTTAATAGGTTATTTACAGAAACCAACTTAGGCATTAGTTGAAAATTATATGCAAACTTTGAGGAGCACTAAGTTTTTTCACTGGCTGTGTTTAGCTGCTGTTTGTCCCTATTTGTGGTGAAATTGTTTTTTCTTTAACTGTTAAGATAAAATAAACACAAAAACACAACCACCACAAATTCAAGTGTCTCTGAAAAGCTAATGCTGTCTAAAATGGGAGACGGTGACAAGTGGAATCTGCTTTCTCATTTTCTGTCTTGCTACAAACTTAATTTCTCCCGATTTCACAAGAGTAGAAGTTACTTGGAATCTCTGGCTCATGTTTCAGAATGCCCCCAAAGCATGGTAAAAAGCCACAAGGGCTTTCAAGGTTTCAATTTCTCTATTCCTTCTAAGAAGACCAAGGTGAGACTTTGCAAACTTTGTCCCTCAGACTACAAGTCTGCCTCACAGCTAATGATATATATGTGCACGCACACCTTTTGAGACATTGCACTCTAACAATTCCTCAATTCCAACGCCAATAGGTGAGAATTCACTTTTGAGGTGCTCATACCTTTGGCATTTGCTGGGTGATTTTGGCCAGGTTTTGCCCTTTCTTGCCAATGATGAAACGGTGAAGCCAAGAGGGGGCGGAGACAGAGGAGACTGTGAAACTGTTGGCCTGAAAAAGGACAGTGTTGTTATGAAGAAATTTAAAATTCAATTAGCAATATGCATTAACTCAAACCACTCAGACGCTGGATCACTCTAGTTCCCATCACAATCCAGTATCCTTAGCTGGAGGATCTTGTCAGGTACCAGACAAGAAGTTGCAGCGTTCAGCAAAACACAACAGCTTAATAATATTATTGTATTATAACAGCAATCTATTAGCATTTTTATGCAGCATTTGTGGAAGATTATTATCACATAACAATTGCCCAAGGCCCAACCGTGGCCCCCACCTGAATGCCATGAGGCCCACACTGCACCTGAATTCAAAGCCCACTCCCACCCCCCACACTGCCCAGCAAATTAGCCCTAGGAATAGCTGACTAGCACTCCAGCAGGAGCTCTCCTCACCTGTTCCCAGCACTAAACAACTGAGTAGCAGGGGGTAAGCACATGACAGAACCTCCCCATCCCTGCACAGAGAAAGGGTGAAGGCTGTCTCTTTGTTTATGTTTCTTGGGTAGGGATGTGGAATCTGTGTCCACTTAATGCCCGCTGACACCACCCGCTTCACTCACATGTGCCCCCCATCCACTGCCCCCCATTTTATGCAGCAAAAAATGTTGTCCCCATTGTTGACTGAAACTGAACACACTATATGCATGCATTCTGAGCCATGCTGCATTCCAGCAATTTAGCAATCCTAACAAACGTACTGACTACCAGAAAGGCCTAGCTGCGTGGCAACCTGGTTACCTTAGCATAGACTTCAGTCAGTGCCTGCCCAAGCTTTTCAGGTTCGCCACGCAGTATCACAGTCTCTGAGCTGCTGTCTGTGGGTGGTATCTCGACCGAGACTCCAGTTTTCTCCAAGATCTCCTGCAGGGAGTTCCCTTTGGGACCGATGACGTATTTATGCTGGGACTTCTTCACCTCCACAGCGATGGTGGTAGTCTTCTTCTTCTGTAGGGAGAAAGGAGTTGGGCATCAGTAATAAGGGCTAGGGAAAAAGAAAGGGGGTGCGTTGGGGAAGTCACCAGGAAATCTCTAGGATTAGAAATGGGGCAGACCAGAAAAGGAAACTTGTCTGTGTGTGCTCTAAAAGGAAGGGCTGGATTTTTCAAACAATCAAACCATGAAATATGCTAAGACCACAAGCCATCTTCTCTGTCTTTTTATATAGGAAAGACACAGAAAGACCACATCTGTGAGTTCAGTCCGCCATAAAGGCTTCCTGTGGTTTTGCATCAGCTACGACTTTAAATACAGCTACATAATCTTGATTAGCTAATCAAGCCATCAGTGGATCTGTGTTTGTGCGTAAGTTCCAGTGAGCAAGTCTCATGATTCTGTAGGTAGTGTGCTCTCCTGGCGAGCATCTGTCGCAAGCTGCAAAGATGCAAGGAGAATGAAAACACTGTATGTCTGTCCCAATTCACATTTGTGGAGGTGAAGGGGAAACTAGACAGGGAAGAGCACCCCACAAATCAGAGGGAAAAGACAGCTCAGGGCTGGTCTGTGCAATGTCGAACTGCTCAGAGACCACGAAGAACTTTACCTTCTCCTCGTAGATCTTCTTAACACAAGCAACTGCTTGGGCCAGCTGCTCCTTTTCTCCAGTGAAGACTATCTCCGTTCTGTTGACGCTGGGAGGTGGGATGTTTATGCGTGTCCCTGTCTCCTGCATGATCTCACCGACCAGCTTGTTGAAAGGGCCAGCAATGAAAGGATGATATACCTTCTCCACCTCCAACCTTTCAACTGCACGCTTATCCTGGGAAATAAAGCAATATGTGCACGTTCTATTGTTTTTCCTACACAGCAAAGCCTAATATTGCAAGGAAAGAAGTGTTCCAAGCAGATGTTACCAAAGGATGTCAAGCCTACAGGAATTTCACTGAAATTCCTATACTCCTTAGTGGGAAGCTCTTGAGACTGATGTTCACATGCCTCCAGCTTTTCCTGAAACATTATTCCTCCCTTCTCCAAAAGTGGCACCTTGGATAACCTGACCGGGCTGCAGACATGTGGCTTGTTAAAAGCAGAGCCTGGATCAGCAAGGTTATTAGTAGTGCTGTGGAGTGTGGGATAAAGGAAGGACATTGAAGGCAGAGGGAATTCAAAACAAGAGTCCAGAAGAACAAGGAAAAGAGTGGGGTGCGGGAAGACTATCATATGATACAGTTCACAGAGATTGCTGCATCAGTGTTTATTCTTAACAGTCCATGTAATCCCCAAATATATGGGGAATGGAATAGGGGACTTGGTTTGGTTTCGGACAGTCTATGGGCAGCATTGCATATGCCGTGGTTGAAAGTGCAGGTGCAAGGCATCTGGAAAGGCAACTGAAATAACCAAAAAGCCTGGGAGGTAAAGGATGATCTCCCTATTCCAGAGAACCCAACTCAAGAGTAACCTGTTTCCCAGAAACCCTCCAATTGTCTAACCAGCCTCATGCCTTAGGGCCGCTCTACATATTGATGACTGTTGTGGGAAAAATGGGTGTGTTATATGTGCATTTCCTGGAGTTGTCATCAAAAGGTGGTGCCACCTAGAGTTTAACCCAAAACTATTTGGACATAGGTCGCTTCTCAGCATGATTGGACCTGCACATTCCATATACATGGCAGGTAGTAGAGAACAGCATATAGAGTCTTGGGCTGCAACCTGAATCCAATCCACCCTTAAGGCTTTGGGGAGCCACCATTGCACCTGCTGCCTGGCTGCTCACTCTAGCCATGGGGTGGGAGGCAAGATGCTCCGGCAGTCTTGCTCAGGTCTCACAGCTGATCTGGCCTATCAGTGCTTGTATGCCCCTTTGCAGATAGCATCCCCAGCAGTTCAAAGCCTCAGAACAAGGTGCTCCAAGGGCAGGGAGGGTGTGGGACTGAGCCACATCTGTTTGGTCTTACAGGCATCACCAAACAGCATCTGTCCCAATCCAGACCTGATCACTGTGCTGGTGAAAGAGGCATTTGGATTGCTCCGCCCAATCCTACGTACCGTAATTTTCACTCCATAACACGCACTTTTTTGCTCCTAGAAAGTAAGGGAAAATGCCTGTGCGTGTTATGGGGCGAATGCACTGGACCGGAGCCATGGCTGCCGTCAGTTAAACGAAGCGGGAGCCGCTTGCAAGGCTTCTGTCTCGCTTTGCACGGCTCTAGCTTTGCCTGCTTTACAGCCAGGAGGAGGGGCTCTCTGAAAGTAAGCAAAGCGAGAGCCGCTTACACGCTCTACGAGGCTCTCGCTTTGCTTGCTTTAAAGCGACCTACGGAGGAGCCGGGGAGGAGGGAGGGAAGGAGAGGCATGGCAGAAAAGCAGGCAGCAGCCACTTACACGGGAGGAGGGATAGACGGGAGCCATAGCGAGCTGGAAGGAGGCAGGCAATTCAAAGCCAGCAGGCGCTTTTAAAAACGTTGCGTAGCCAGCAACAGCTGCTGCAGCCTCAGCTAGCAAAGGTCTGCGCGCTCTCTAAACGGAGCAGACAGGAGGGCATGGGATGAGGGAGAGGGGGAAATTACGCGTCCCCAGCGATCCGCTGGCTCCTTCAGTGCGCCGGAGACAGGAGGGCACGGGATGAGGGAGAGGGGGAAATGCATGTCTCCCAGCGTCTCCCCTGATCCGCTGGCTGCTTGAGTGCGCTGGGGACAGGAGGGCACGGGATGAGGGAGAGGGGGAAATGCATGTCTCCTAGCGCCTCCCCTGATCCGCTGGCTGCTTGAGCGTGCTGGGGACAGGAGGGCAAGGGATGAGGGAGAGGGGGAAATGCATGTCTCCCAGCGCCTCCCCTGATCCGCTGGCTGCTTGAGCGCGCTGGGGACAGGAGGGCACGGGATGAGGGAGAGGGGGAAATGCATGTCTCCCAGCGTCTCCCCTGATCCGCTGGCTGCTTGAGCGCGCTGGGGACAGGAGGGCACGGGATGAGGTAGAGGGGGAAATTACGCAGAATAGACTGGATAGGTTTGAGCACATGAGCAGGACTTGGATTGCAGGGGATTCTCCATTAGCTGTGTAAAGCAGCAAAGAGGGAGAGAAGAGAAGGAGCAAAGCGGGAGAGGAGAGGAGCTGCTTACACTGCTGTAAGCGGCTGCTGTCCGGTTGGCTCCTTTAAAGCAACAGTGCTCTTTCCGTCCCTCCTCCCCGCTCAGCTCGCGGAAAAGCTCCTTCTCCACACACCCCACGCGAGCTCCTTCTCCCCTTAAATCCCTCGCCTGCATTATTAGAAGCATCCTTCTTCACACACCCCACGCGTGCTCCTTGTCCCTTGAGTGCTTTCCCTTCCCTCCCCACTTAAAATGTGGTTACAAAGCACGGATCCACATGGATCCTCAGGATTTTTGAATTGGGCTACCCCAAACTCACCATCAGATCACATGTCTGTGGCCACAGCATGAAGCACAAAAATCATACATCCACTGTTTCGTTTAGAATTTTTTTTCTTGTTTTCCTCCTCTAAAAACTACATGCGTGTTATGGTCTGGTGCGTGTAATAGAGCGAAAAATACGGTAGCTTTGTATACAAAACATCTTGGTGCTCTGTTTACCTAGAAGTCCAAATGACGTTAATGGAGCTTATTTTTCAGATGTGCATGTTTAGGGCCATAGATTTTAACCACATGGAAGAGCAGAACAGCAGTACCTGTGACGCCTTATTTGCTCAATATAGTTGCTTATTAAACTACCCAATCTGGGAGATGCTGTTCTGCTCTGCAGAGGCCAAGACAAAGTCAGCTTGTCTTAAAAGTACTCCCCTCAGAAAAGGCGTAACGACAGCAATGTTCCTCAGAAGCCGTAAAGGTGGGAATGCTGCTTACCTGCTCAGCAGAGATCAGCAGGATCTCATGCCGCGCCTTCTCAATCCCTTCCTTGGTGCCGGTGATCTTGATCTGGTTGCTGGGGTCATCCGGGCGGGGGATCTGGATCTTAGTGGCAGTTTTGAGCTCAAGGTCCTGCAACTTCTCTCCACTTTTGCCAATGACAAAGCGATGATGCTCCTTGGGAATGGGCACCGTTGCTGAAGCCTACAACAGACATCAAGATGCGGGATGAAGCTGCAGGCCAGGTCCATGACACGGATGTCTCTCTATCACCTTAAGGCAGGGATGAGAAAACCTGTAGCCCTCGGCCTAATTTCATGCAGAAGTGAGGGGAGAGGAGGAGAAGGAAGTTGAAATGGATGGTACAATGGAAGGAGGAGGAATAAACCCTCAGCAACTGATCGATAGAGACTTCTGTCAAGAGCTATCTGCTTCTCTCCCGGCAGACTGCTGTGTGGGGAAGTGTGTCTGCCCACCACTAGCACCCGACAACTTATCCCCAAGAGAAAATGGCTGTTCACTCTCTCTCTCCCTCTCCAGTCCAGCCCTAAAGGTTGGGTTGACCAATCCAACAGAGCTGTTTTGCCCTGAATGCCATAATGGAGGACAGAATTTCAGCAGTGCAATTTCTCCCACCATATGCGGGAGGCGGCGGTGGCGGGGGAATGTGCATGTCCAAGTTCACCACTGTATACAACTATCAGAGATAGGAGGTGTTTATCCAGCAGAATCAAATAATAAAGAAATTTGCATGAACTGTACTACTTGAGGTTTCAGGTAGAAAAGCTCTCTGTCTACTGGCATCAGGCAGGCACGTTTGCTGAGCTCTTTTCAGTGCCTGCTTAAATCATTTTTTGTTTAGGCAAGCCTATCCAGACACATAGATGCTGAAAAATTACTCTCCTTTACTTATTAATTCATAGAATCATAGAATCATAGAGTTGGAAGAGACCACAAGGGCCATCGAGTCCAATCCCCTGCCAAGCAGGAAACACCATCAGAGCACTCCTGACATATGGTTGTCAAGCCTCTGCTGAATGTAATTATTGATCATTCCAATATTTCTGGTAAACCACTTAGAGGTACCTACATTTGTTTTTTTGTGTGTGTGTTTTTTAAAAAAATATATGTTTGACTGCTTCCCCAAATTAAGAAAAATAAAAGTCCCTGCCAAGTTCTCCCAGGCACACATTCTCTCCACTCAGCTTTATTAAGACTCAACCAAGCCTTCTCCCTCCCTAACATAGCATTTCATTCAGTAAAGTTATGTGGGTAGGCGAGTGACAGTGGAAGGAAGCATTCAGCCGTGCAGACTCCCATCTTCATTTAAATTTCTCAGTCTTCACTGGAACAAAAGACTCCCAGCTGCAGTGTGAATTGGAAACACTTCAGAACAAGCTCAACCACTCAGACTAGCCTGATTGTATGATCTCTAGACTCTAATGTTATAACACAGATTAAGCATAATTATGTTGAACATAACCCTCAAGCTATTTCCTATGTCCTTTCTGAACCTATTAAATTTTAGATAGAACGGGATATTAATATTTTCCTTGGTGGAGGGCATAATGCCCAAGTAAGAGTTTTCCATTGCCAAAGGGGCTTATGGGATAAATCAGGATGCTCTAAAGCCCTGACCAAGTCCCACTCAAAAACTTAGTCATGGTGTCACAAATACAGAAAGTTAGTTCAAGGTTCTCATTTATCCAAACACAGGAGTTCTCAACTGCAAGCTAAATTCTGGTGGTTGGCAGACAGGCTACAGAAGAGTTGAGAATATATGTACTTGCCCATGCACCCACTTTCTCTTTCCTGGTGATGGAGACAGAGCTCTGCCCATGATTTTCATAGCAGGATTTCAGACCAGGCAGGCAAAAAATAGGTCACTTAATGTCACTGTGATATCAAGTGAGTGGCCATGCCAACCTGTCAAAATTTGGCCCACAGTGTGTATGGAGATAAGGGTCTGGCCCCAGCCAGCCAGTTCTAGCTCCCTACCCGTTTTAGCCAGTTACAAATTCACAAGACAATCCATCGTCTTATACTATAACTGCTATGTTTACTCAGCTACCTTTGAGGGACTTCACACACCTACCAAAACCTTTTGACAGATGTCTTCATGATCACCCCATCTACATATTTACTGACATCCCACTTTTTTCTAAACACAATCCATTCTAAACTGGCTCATAGAATTCTTTGGGCCATCTAGTCCAAGCCAAGTCTAGTACTTTAGTACTTAATTAGCCAACAGCTTAGGGTCAATGGGCATTAGCCACCTTAAGGGATGCAACACCCACCACAAAATGATGTAGGGGACTCAGTCCACTTTCGCTTGCCAAGGGAGTAAGAGGGTTGGATGCTGTTCTGCCCATCACTCATGCCTTGCCTCTCTTAAGATAGCTGTAGCATCTCTCCTCTAATGTTGCCAAGTGCTTTGCCACAGAAAGTAGTGGGGAAGAGATCCCAATTTCAATGTATTTCCCCACCCCCTCCTCAGGGAGCACTGAGCTTTTGGAAGAAAAAACTTTGGGGAGTACATAGTGCTACTGTTCACCATAAAAACTGATCCCATCGTACCTCGTTAACACCCATGAATGCACCATTTATAACCATCACCAGGTTCTGGCTTCTGGAGAGATTACTTGCCTAACATTGGCTGCTAGAAAAGTATGTGGGGAGGCCATAGTCAATTAAACTGCAATTAGCTTTTGAAGCTCAGTTGAAAACACATGGCATCACTCCAGTGACCTTCCATGCACTTCAGATGCACTGCAAAGGTGAGCTGGCCTACTAAAATCTATGTTTGGTTTTATGAGCACCCACACCTTGAGGAAGGTCATACAGTCGGAAGAGGAGAGAACCAAGTTGCTCACCTGTGTCTGAAGCTGAGCTACGATCTTCTTTCGAGCCTTCATCACTGCTTCTAGCTTGCCAGAGACCATGATCGAGAGTCCCTGATCCTTTGCGAGAGACAGCTCCAGGTGAGCTCCCGTCTTCTGCATGATGTCCAAGCAGATTTTGGCCTGCTCCCCTTCCCCAAACTGGTTCATGTCCTTGTATTTCCTCTCTTCCAGCGGCACATGGAACACCTGCTCAGGTAAAAGGAAGTCTTGTTCAACTTAGAACAATGGTAAATTTACTCCCCTTTTGCAGATGAGCAGAGACACTTCTGCTGTAACAAGACACTTAAGCACTCAACTGATAAATACATACTGGGCACAACTCTCTATGATGTGAACCCTTAGATTTCAACACAAAAAGATACTTAACTTTTAGAGTGGAGACTACTTTAGGAGATCAGCTACCCTGACCACCCCTTTAGTTTCGAACAGCATTAATGGCGATCAATGGGGTGACAGATGTAGCAGCCAGATCGCCCTCACATCCGAACAGCATTAATGTAGCATTCAGGGCTCTGATGTCACTAACTGAGTAAGGTCAGTATCTGGGAATGCCTCAGACTACACCGACAGAATTCTCCAAAAACTGACTGGTCAAGCAAATGCCGTCCTGCTCCAAAATAGTCTTTAAGTTAGCTCTGGTCACTTAGTTATCTTTATTGCAACACTTTCTCCCCTGCAACAACATGCTGGAGGGATACTGAAAAGCATTTGTCTTCAAAGCTTACAGTAGAAAACCAAGTGTTGGGTAAAAGAGGAGGGAAATCCTCTTTTGTACTGACCTGAGTGATGACAGAAGCCTTGATTGGTCGGATTTTGCTCCAGGCACCAGCAGGTTCCTGGGCTGGTTCCAAACATGCTGCTTTCTCAGGGAGAGGAGGGAAGGCATCCTTGTAAGTTGGAGGGTCATTTTCTTCTTCAGCATTTAAAGCTGCAACTAGAGTTGAGCAAGCAAAGAAACAATGAAGTATTTCATACACAAATAGTGCTCACCCTGCTGATTTCCAAACATGCTCGAGTTCAGCGGCAGAAAACAAAGGCCACAACTTTTAAAAGAAATGACTGAAATTAAGAGAACAAAATTAGTGAACAAAATTAAGCAGCTTTCTCTTTGGTAAACCACCAGTGGTTGTTTCTGTCTATCAAGCAATTAGGAAACCTTTATCTTTTGTGGAAATCAGAGTTAATCTTGACATTTAACACACATGCCCTGGACCCTCACCACCCTTTTTCTTACTGCAGCCAATGGAATTATGGGATGCAGGTTTGGCATGAAGAACAAGTGGATGATCAGTTCAGTCACCTCTGGTGTCAGGATGACCCCGCCTGAGAGTTAATTCCAAACCATTTATTGACACTGGCTGTTGTGTAGCTGACCTCTTAGCAACTTGCTGAATTGGCAAATTATTTTCTTATTGAGAAAGGGAGGACCATCAGCTAACTGATCTTCCTCTGCTTCTTTTGTTAATGTTTTACTTGGGAGGTAGGACATATTTTGCTTGCAGGCTGACCCATTGATGCTGCTTGACTTCAAAGAGCCCTTGACCATCTACAAAATTCATTTCAGCAATTTTCACATGGCTTCATGCATTGACTTGGGAGTCCCTTGACAAACTAAACTGACCTGGTACCTGATCACGCTTATTAAACCCCATTCTTTATTCAATTTACACCTGCCTATTACTTACACTACCTTGTGACAAAATAGTTAGATACTATTTTCTTGATAAGAGCAGCTAACAGGATTGTATGGAAGAATGATTAAACACGGTAAATTTAAGCAGTGTTGGCTGCTGCCCATATATTGGAACTTGCTCAACACAGTACTATGAAGGACAGAGAACAACAAATATTTAATCGTTTTGGTGGTTGTGATAAGGCTTCCAATACAGAAAAATAGGATTAAGAAAGTCCAAAAGATCGTTTAGCTCACCCCCTTCTCCTGATTAACCTAGCATTAACCCATGTGATGAAGTGTATATAAATACTCCACATGGAGAGAGGGTGCACATTAAGGAACAGCTTGACAGAATGAAAAGAACTAGGAGAAAGAACCTGCAGGTCAGACAACTCATACAGTGGTACTTCGGGTTAAGTACTTAATTCGATCCGGAGGTCCGTTCTTAACCTGAAACTGTTCTTAACCTGAAGCACCACTTTAGCTAATGGGGCCTCCTGCTGCCACTGTGCCGCCGCTGCACGATTTCTGTTCTCATCCTGAAGCAAAGTTCTTAACCCGAGGTACTATTTCTGGGTTAGCGGAGTCTGTAACTTGAAGCGTCTGTAACCTGAAGCGTATGTAACCCAAGGTACCACTGTATTCTGAACCTCTCTTACCCTTGAATTTTGTTGTTAGCCCTTTGCCACACGAGTATCAAACTTGCTGTCTCATTCAAGCAACAAAGACCCCAGGAAGGCCGGCTTGCACTCCCTCCCACAAAAGGGGTGGGGAAACCTTCTTCAGCCTGAGAACTGCATTCTACTTGGCCAACTCCATGGTAGCTTGGCCAACCCTCCATCACCAAAAGGAGTATGGTCAAGGAATAAGTGGGCGAGGCCACACACACAATATCTACACAAACACACACGCCTTGTAAAAGGTTTAAATGCTTTCACACCCCAGCTGAACCCTCGGGATGGTTCTCCCACTATAATTAGACTAGAAAAGGCCTTCTTAGAAGGCTCCCCCCTAGCCTAAATATGGTGCAAGGGGCATTTCTGGAGGTATGTTAACTCTTCCCTTCCCAGCTGTAACCCCCACCCCCTCCTGTGCCACAATTAGGCTTGAAAAAAGCTTTCTCAAGGAGGGGAAGTAGGAAAAGCAGCAGATGATGAGGGCTGGGTAGGGAGGCCTCAAGGGCCACATCCAGCCCTCAGGCTAGTGGCTCCCTAGCAAACAGTGTTAGAAACTGAGATATGAAAGCTAGGAGCTAAATGGCACCTCAAAGCTAGGTTGTGGGCGCAACATCAGAATGTCTAGGCACTCTTTCCTTTTAATAATAATACAAAGCTGAAAACGAATGAACTGTAGCTAAAATATAATGTTCATTTTTCACATGATCTAGTCCTTCCCCTGCCCACCCCCCTAATATTCTTAAGAGGGTCTCTTATCCAGTCTTCAGAGTGTAGCTGGAAGTGGGGCAGCAGAAAAAGGTCCTCCTTTCCTTCCACTCTGCAGTTTTATTCTGAAATCTTAGGTGCAGTACTGCGCCCAGAGCTCAGAAAATGCGTGCACTAAAGAAATCCCCAGTCGCAAAATGTGCCTAGAACAATGGCAGTTTTGAACCCTGCCAGCAAAGTAATATTTGAGTATGTAGTAGAAGCTGAATATGCCACTTTCATGCAGAAGTTGTCAAAAAGGGATTTTCCAGTAGCCTTGCCTTGAAGTCTTACCTTTCACTTGCTGCTGAGCAAGGCCGCTGCGATGTTCAGCAAAGCTCTCCTGGGTCAAAACTGCCACGGAGCTCATGGTCGATTTCCCACCCACGCACAATCCGGGTATGCCACTGGTAGCGCAAAAGGGGAAACACCGTAATCATTACTAGCAGGATGCATTTAAATAGGGAGGGGAAGTAGAAGTGGCGTGACTGGCAGTGGCGTAGCGTGGGGGGTGCAGGGGGGGCCGGCCGCACCGGGCGCAACATCTGGGGTTAGGGCAAATCCACAGGTTAGGGGGCGCAAATCCACGGGTTAGGGGGCGCAAATTACTTGCCTTGCCCCGGGTGCTGACAACCCACGCTACGCCACTGGTGACTGGCCACTTGCCTGGCACAAGCTGAAACTGTCCCTAGCTGAGTCCCTCTTCCTAGCCACAACTATTTCTCCTAGGGCTGTAAGCAGTGCCTTTCCTCCCAGCCAGCCTGGAAAAACACTGATCCATTGCTTTCGCTGCTGCATGGTATTACTTCCAGTTATTCCTTTGAGGCTGGGAAAGGTTGCTGCAAAAGCACTTATTCCCCTTCTAGAAGCAACAGCAACATGCCTACTGCCTCCTCAAGGAGCCTTAAACGTCAGTGACAGTAAGCTGCACTAATATGAGGAGCTGTTGGTTGAATTTTTAACATTACAGAATATAAAATGAAAAGATGTTATCTTGGGAAATTGTTGACTAAATCAGTCTGCCTTTGCTGCATCTGCCACAAATAGTGGGCTATTATAGATGTAACTCTAGTCCTCTTCACATGCAACCTCAGCATGTATTTTTACACGTTGTAGGGCAGAGAAGCGAACATTGGCCTTATATGCTCCCCCCAATACACAGAACCTTCAATATGACCAGAACCTAAATCAGGGATTTAGCTGCATCAACATTACTTCACACGCAGGGTTTAGTTCCTTTACCAGTCTGACAGCAACAGCCAATTCTAGATACGTTAGAATAAATAGAGCAGCCTGATTTCTTTGAAAGAGCAATCTAGCCAATAATCACTTTGCGATTATCAGAAAGTAAAGAATACCTGGAGGTTGGGACATATAACCCCAACCATCTTGGTTAATTGGGCACGTACAAAACTCTCTAGCACTATTCTGAATGCAGTTGTACAAAGTTAGCCTTCAACTTTCCCAGAGAACAAGTTAATTGTGTGCCATGTTAAAGGTACTTACTTTTTAGCCCTGCTGCCTCTTAATTATAAGAATTAGGAAACAATTTGTGAGAAAGGGAACATAATCTCTTTTCACTTTATCTACACAATTGTAAACCTCTTTTCTGTCCCCCTTAATTATCTTGTTTCGGAGCTAATCTAGGTATTTTAAGCATTTACACAGAATTTCTCCCCTTAATCGTTTTATCACTTTTTCTACTTTTAACTTGGGTATTATTGTTAGGAGGAGATGGGAATATTCAAGGTAAGGGTTTAGCAAGAAACACTATTTTTTCCCTTTCCTTCTTACTGGAACACTAGAAACAATAATTCTTAAAAGCAGCAGCATCTGAAGTTCATTCCACATTGGGCAGGGACCATATTCAACTGTGTGGGCTAAAGTTTCCTTTTAAAATACCAGCTTTAAGTGCAAGCATGCATGCGAGTGCACACACCTTTAAGAACCATTCTTTGTTGCAGGTAATTGCAGGAGTATTTCAGGTAAGTCATGTGAAATCTATGAATAATTAATGGACACTACTAAAAACAAGGGTGGTAATGAACTCAATAGCTTTGCTAGTGCAACAGGATTTCCCACTCTCTTGTCCCCCTGCAACACCCCCAAACTGCTCACAAGGGTAGGGGGAGACCGCCAGAACAGATTGGATGGGTAAAAGCCAAAAGATTTATACTATCTGAAGAGAAACCAGATTGCATAGGGTGGGGGAAGGAGAGGTGGAGAATGTTCCATTGAGCAAAGAGAATTCCTTTCACGGGTTGAATTTTTTTAGCGCTACGCTGAATACAACTCCTAGCGTTCAATAGGAGTGTGGGCCAGAAGTCTGACATACAAACTTAACCACATAGATCTGTAAACTTACCAGCTAAATGGTCAGTAGCCAGAAAGTCCGTCCTGTGAGCTGCCTGTTTGTCAGCCTGCCAGCTTCTGCTTTGCGGAAAGAAAGAAACAATAGTTACTCTGCTCTAAGAGTGCTAAAATTCATTGAAATCACAATACAGTTTCATGAGTTTGGAAATCACTCAGGTAAACCTGAATCAGGATCCGAAGTGTAAATTATTATTTTTCAATAATGAATTTGCAACCTGCCTTGCAACAAGTGTACTTCGCCACAAAAAGCAAAACACAGAACAGAAAAGTAAACAATTTAAAATCAACACACAAAAGGAGGAGGAAACGTCACTGTTCATATCCACATTTCAGCACATTCTTAACCCACTCATCCACATATAATCTGAATGCTGAACATAATGAATCTATGCAATCAAAGATTATACCAGCAACACTTAGTATTTTATTTCTAGAAAAATCAAAAATTGAACTAGCATTTTGGGCGCAACAGTACAGCATAGTGTTCTGCGTCATCCAAATAATCTCATCAATTTCAACTGCCAACTGTAATTTAAGATTTCCTATGGACTTTGGGCTTAACTGCCTGTCCATTCTCCAGCACAAAACTACCCAACGTAATTTTAGGCTAAGAAATAGTAAATGAATAGCAGATGTAAGATATGAATTTGAAGTTTCATGGCTGTAAAAGCATCTCCAACTGGGTGACACACAGAGAAACTAACAGATTAAAAACCTGCCAAGAAAATGGACATCAGTCAGAAGATAGGAATGTAGTTTAGTGGAGCCTGGGTAAAACATGCACTTTCTTACAATCGGAGGCTGAGAAAAGAACAGAGTTTTATTAAATCGGCTCCTGGCAATTCTAAGCTCTGATATGTGCATGTGCACGCACACACCAGCAATGCCCAACTTGTGCACATGTGTATGTGACTGGCATTTTGAAAACTCTACAAGAGGCAAGAGCTCCAAACTTGACCAGAGATCTTTGTTTTAAAACAAAGAAGTTACCAACATATTTCCAACATCCCAACAGGAGTTCAGTGGGAGTTAGATGTCTAACTACAAATACCTGTGCTACTGGGTAAAACTGATCAAACCAGCTTAGAAAAAGCAGCAGCAGCAGCAGCAGCAGCAGCGGAGACAGTCAGCATTTATGGGTAGGGCCATAATCTACTTTGAACATTCTTGGAACAAGTGCAATCCCAGCAAAGTCAGCTTGAACGAGGCTGGAGCATCTTCGTATTTCCTTGCTTTTAAAACTAAATTTGAAATCCACAACTGTAATCACCTAAGAAGCATGTAATCGCTGCTCCAGAAGAAAAATGAAGGACAAGGATAGGAGCCTAAAACTGCAATTGTTGAGAAATGACCCAGAAGGAAGAGAGCTGAAAATTTAATAAAAATAAATACAAACTAGCAAGGCCAACATGCTTGCCACTCAGAAAGCTTACAGCATTAACACAGGGCACTAACATCAGGAATTTGGAGGCTCTATGACACAGATCTAGGCCTGGTATTGGTAAATAAAAGTGGATAGATTTTAAATGGTAATCAAGAATATATATATACCGAATCATGACAACTGACTTACTGTGAACAAAACTGGGGTACAACACAGTGTTTCTTGCACCAGGGTCAAGCTGGGATAGACTAGGGGAGCATGTGCTCTGCATGAGCCAACACTGAATATTCATGTCACTATTCAAGGCCTGTCACTGCTTTAGACAAGGTGGCTTAACAGAAAACCAGTGTGGCATCTGCACTATTGTGGGACAGAAAGTACATCTGCCGGCACATGTGGCCACAGCTCAGACTGCAAAAACAATCTGTCCTACAACCCTTAACGGAAGAAGATCGTCAAGGAGTTCATGTTAACTATGCTTCCCATCTATTTTATCAAACTCTTTAGAGCTTCGTGGAACCATAGAATTGTAATGTACACCAAGGGTCATCAAGTCCAACCCCTTGAAATGCAGGAATCGCAGCTAAAGAATCCCTGGCAGATGGCCGGCCAGCCAACCTCTGTTTTAGGTTAGGCTGACAGAAGATGGCAACCACCCCAAGGTTGCACCCGGTGAGCATCTCAGCCAGGCAGGGATTTGAATCCTGGTCTCCTATACTGGCTCTCAAGAAAAAGGTACTAGGAGGACTCCAGGGTTAATCATGACTGACAGGCTCAGCAAGCTGCAAAACAGGAACAGTGGTCTCCTTACTTTTACTGTCACCAGCATACAGAGGTCTGACTAATTATGTATGTTCTCCCCTTGATCTGGCCCTATTCTCAAGGCAGCCGTTCTCCTGGCTCTGCCACCTTTTCTGGCCCCCAACACCCTTTGCTCAGAACTTCCTGCTAGCTGGGTATGGGTTTAGTGGCTTAACTTTGTTCCAGGAAGGCTGAGCTCAAGTTGAGACCGTTTGGGTGCTGTAACTTGATTTAGTGCCTGCCTGACAGGAATGTAACCTCGTGGCACAGCTGCTGGTTTCATCATGGCCCCAGAAGCTGCGCAGATTTGAATGGCAGAGGCTAGAGAAAATGTTACTTATGAAAACAATGAAATGGAATAAAAACCATGTTCAAAGCATGCTCAAGGAGGCTTACAACATTGGGGGGGCGGGGGAGAAAATCACTGGTTTTCAACCAGTGTGCCTTGGCACCCTGAGGTGACTTGAGGAACGGTCTGAAACGTTGCTGTATGCTATGGAGATTAGACCAAGGCACTGCTTTAGCAGAATATAATAAAATAATATTGGGCAAGGTGAAGAATGGCAAAGGAAGGTGACAGACGGATGGGAGGGGAAATAGCTGCAAATCACTTGGCAATGCCAGAATTTTGTAACAGCTGGCTGGGGGTAATTCTGATGTCAGTTCTTGCTTCCCATGTATAATAATAATAATAATAATAATAATAATAATAATAATAATAATAATAATAATAATTTATTTATACCCCGCCCATCTGGCTGGGTTTCCCCAGCCACTCTGGGCAGCTTCCAACAAGGTATTAAAATACAGTAGTCTGCTAAAACATTAAAAGCTTCGCTAAAGAGGGCTGCCATCAGATGTCTTCTAAAAGTCTGGTAGTTGTTCTTCTCTTTGACATCTGCTGGGAGGGCATTCCACAGGGCGGGTGCCACTACAGAGAAGGCCCTCTGCCTGGTTCCCTGTAACTTGGCTTCTCGCAGTGAGGGAAGTGCCAGAAGGCCCTCGGTGCTAGACCTCAGTGTCCGGTCAGAACGATGGGGGTGGAGACGCTCCTTCAGGTATACGTGCAAGATGCATGGGGGAACTGAGACAAAGAATAAAAGACTCATGTATGTTAGACTAATGCCTGACCATTCCAGTCATCTTTACCCATTTTCTTGTTGCTTCCATGTCTACGTAAGACAGAAGTGCAGAAAGTTGTTTTAAAGCAAAGACAAGAAAACTATGACAGGACACTGCTAAGTCTGTCTCAAGCATCTTATGAGGGAAAGCAATGAAAGTAAGAAATTAAGAAACCATCTGGCTTCGGAGGGCAAGTCATCACCTATTTCATGTGTGATCTTTCAGAAAGAGAGTATGGCGCTCTTGGAAGAAGAGGGCAGCTTGGCTACATGGGTTGTAACTGTCGAAGAATAATATCATCAATGGCTACTAGCCATGATAGCTAAGCTCTGCCTGCACATTCAGAGGCAGCAATGCTTCTTCGGAACACCAGTTGCTGGAAACCATAGGTGGGGAGTGTGCTCTTGGGCCTGAATCCTGTTTGCTGGTTTCCTGTAGCCATCTGGTTGGTCACTGTGAGAACAGGATGTTGGACTCCATAGACCACTGGCCTGATTCCACAGGCTCTTCCTAGATCATTATTAATAGCTGGCCGGTTTATTCAAATCCTGGGGCCACAATGAAAATACAATGCAAACTCATGTGTGCATTCTAATTATACTACTAATAAATCTGCATTAACATAATGGATGTTAGGCCACAATTAGTGAAAATATTGCTATCTTCAGTTATGTTATGCCCTGTGGCACACTGCCAAACACAGATGGCTGTTGTTTAAGATTAGGATCACTTCATCGATCAACTGCTTATCAACGTTTAACAAAGAAAACATTTTATCTCAAAAGTATGCAAGCACTGCCAAAAAAAGGAGCAAAAAAGCAAAGTGCTGCAGCATGGATTAATTTAAATCAAGGTGAAATGAAAGTTCTTTTTCAATTTTTCATCCAAAATAATGTCTCTCACTGTGAAATTCACGTGTTTCCTGGCTGCTTTAAAAACAATGAAAGGCATTTGTTTAACACCGAGCAGAGCCCAGGAGCATAATTCAAAACATTTTTTTGCATATGTGCAACAAGCGCTGTAGAATTACATCTGCATATACATGCACAAATAATAATTTACTTTTAGTCTAAGAATACAATCCTGAAAAACCAATAATAAAATATAAAAATTTAATAGATACAAAAGGAAGAGGGGCTTTGCTCTGCCACACTTGCAATTGTATGAGGCAGCTTGTTTGTGTTGGTTAAAGGAATGGATTGTATTGGATAATGCAGATATTTTAGACTTGGAAGGCCAAGACTTAAACTTGGGCAGGCATGAATGTGTTCGGTATGAACCACATTCTCAGGAAGAATTTGTATAGAGTCTGGGAGAAATATAAAAATCTGCTAGAAAGAAAAACACCCCACATCGAAGCAATTACAATTAAGAGAGTTAATATGGACAGACAATGGGCAACTTACAGGGAACTGCTGGATTTTGCAGGGGGTGAACCCAGACTGAAACCTATGGAGAATTTAAGAAGCCAAGTAACGGATTGGTTACAATACCACCAAATATATGCTACGTTTAAGGTAGACAAAAAAAAAATGGTTTTTTGGACCAAAGCTCACAATTTGAAAAAGAACTTTTACAAAATAAGGATAAACTTCTGTCTAAAATGTATAATTTCTTATCAGAATGGGAAACAATAAACAAGCCAGAAGAGTTTATGTATGCAACAACAGTGGCCCGTGTTCTGTTAGCCCAAAAATGGAAAGTGAGTGAAGTCCCTTGTAAAGAGGACTGGCCACTTATGATGTTAGAATATGCAGAACTTGCAAGAAGAACGTATATTTAAAGAAGAGT